TACATGTAGTTACTTATTTATAGAGTTATTTTTACTTAGCTATAGAGCTAGTTACTTAGTTACTTAGTCATAGAGTTTTTTTACTTAGTTATAGAGTTAGTTACTTACATGTAGTTACTTAGTTATATAGTTATTTTTACTTAGCTATAGAGTCAGTTACTTAGTTACTTAGTCATAGAGGTTTTTTACTTAGATATATAGTTAGTTCTTACATGTAGTTACTTAGTTATAGAGTTATTTTTACTTAGCTATAGAGTTAGTTACTTAGTTACTTAGTCATAGAGTTTTTTTTACTTAGATATATAGTTAGTTACTTACATGTAGTTACTTAGTTATAGTTATTTTTACTTAGCTATAGAGTTAGTTACTTAGTTACTTAGTCATAGAGTTATTTTTTTTTATAAATATTGTTTGAAATATTACTTAGCTAGTATAGTTAATTATAGCGCGATCCAGTACTGTAAGCTATAGAAGTGAGTAACTGACCAGATATTGTTTGTTATATATTATCACACCCAGTATCACCCCGAAACTGCAATATCAGCCCAAGGGCCGAATGCCCGCGGGCTGATATTGGTCGAGGGTTGATACTGGGTGTGATATGGAAAAAGGCGTGTTTTAATCTGTTTATTACATACTTACTAATAAAAACTACTATCTTATGATGTATTTTCATTTTTGAAATATTGAAAAACGATTGTTTTTCCAAATGGGGTGTGATATGGGTTTTGTGGGCTGATATGGGTTTTGGGGTGTGATACGGCGGGGGCTGATACGGGTTTTGGGGTGTGATACGGCGAGGGCTGATATGGGTTAGAGCAATTGTGTCGTATCGCATATACAAAAAAAACGTATTTATTAGCAAGTATGTAATAAAAGGTATTACTGACCAACTTTGTTGTTTTAAGTGTATCAATGACCAAACATTGCTTTTTATTTTACAAAAGTGTATTACAATGTACTGACCCAATCTTGTTGGTTATAGTGTATACCAGGTATCTGACAAAAGTGTATTACAATGTACTGACCCAATCTTGTTGGTTATAGTGTATACCAGGTATCTGATAAATAGTTGTATGCCGACCAACATTGTTTGTTAAAATGATGTATTAATGACCCAATATTGTTGGTTACAAAGTGTATCAATGACAAAATAAGGATAGCTTTAATTATTGTCTTACTGACTCTGTAGTGCTGGTAATACATGTAGTATATATCGGACCAGGTATTATTGATTTGTTTAAATGGTATAACTGACCCAATCTTGTTGGTTATAGTGTACACCAGATATCTGACCAAATGTTGTTTTTTTTTATAAAGAACGTATTACTGACCCAATATTGCTGTTGATTGATGTAGTAAATATCTGACCATATATTGTGGTTTTTTTTTATAAAGAGCGCATTATCTAGTACATGTCTGGTTGTTAAAAAGTGTATATCTGACTCAATTCCAAATTGCTAATGTGAAACAATCATTAGAGGCATTTCGGGATATTTTAATGTCTACAATTTGTATTTTAATGTCATGATGACCAGCCGTGGCGTAAATATAGATCTAATAGATGATACATGTCCGTATGTAGCAAGGATATGACAAATCCGATTGCATTCGCCAAACTTATTTGTGGTTTATTCTTCCATCAAATACATGAAGTTTACTTCTACATAAGTTGATAGCAATTGCTGAAACTTATGAAATAGAAGTTATGTAGAAAGGATACTTACACGTATCGAACCCTATTATCGATTTCTATTGCATTGCTGTATCCCACAAGAATAATTTATCATACAGTGTCAGTTCAAATAAGTTGGTAGATGGATCTGACATAAAATTGAAGGTTACTGATCACACAAAAGATATAATAACAGAGTGAACCTATTGATTGCACAGACAGTAATGTCATTGGCTTAGCGTAACCTCGACATAGCCGTTGCGATAACATTTCTTTTAAATATACACATGAATCTGTTTCTGTTAAGCAAGGACGTGGACACATTTGCATAGATGTTTAAATCATCCAATTCCCTTTAGATGTTTATCTCACTTCCTAAATCGGGTTTAATGCATGCGGAAAAAAGAGTTAGCACAATTTTGTTACCAAACATTGCTAAAGTAAAGATACCATACGGGTTATTGGTCTTATTAGGTAGACTGTATTTTATTCAGAGAGGGTCTTTTTAGAGAATTATTATTTCCCCTTATTTTACAAAAAAGACACATAAAAACGATAAAGTCACTGACACGTGGCACCTTGGTCTTCTGTCCGCCTGGTTTAACCAGATCGTAAGATATTATCAATTAAAACTTGTGTTTCATATTTGTTTCATCAAATATGTAATCTGGCCTCAGATTTTTTTATTTATATTGAAATAAAAGTTTGATTTTATTTTCAGCGACCGATAGGTTCTGGGGTATATGGAGCAATACTCCGTCGGTCCAGGATCACTACTTCCTGAACACGGGGAGTTATAACAAGCTTGTAAAGCGATGTACCGGATGTGCGTGTGATTCAATCCGTAAAACAGTCAGCGGCTGTAGAGGGAACATGTAACTGTTTATTTATGTTGGATATTTGATATTTGTTGGAGAACATAAGTACCACCTAAATTAAATATCTTTTTGTTTGTCACTAATCTCTCGAAAAGCTAAGTGTCTCGAAACGATGAAATAACTCGATGTGTATATGCTCCTTAGCTGTTCCCGTGCGATTTGAAGCTTTAGCAATTATAGGAATGACTTTGAAATCGTTCAATATATGATTTACCTGAGTATTTAAAATGACATTTCTTCAAAAAAGTAACTCTGTTGTTTTTCAGTCATTTACAACAACAGACGTTTACTCGGCTAACAGCTGACTCCTTTGCCGAACCATCTACAATCAAAAGCATGTGAGTGCAAAACGTTTAAACCCCTCTCCCCCACCATGATCTGGGGTTGTTTATAACATTTCGTAATAAATTAACTTTAAAGTGGTAAACTAGGCATCCATTAACAACAATCACGTGTAACTGAGAATTTTCAACCGAATTAGTTACTACATGTATTTCATTAAGGTAATATAGCGTATCTGTTATCCAGAAAGATCGTTCGGGAAAATATCTCACCCTGCAACATTTTCAGACATACAAAGCATGTAGTATAGTGAAAACATGCCGCCTTTGAGAAAAGCAACCTTATGTTATAGTTGATTTTAAAAATTGAACTGAACACTAATTTTAAATTTAATTAAGAAAGTTATACTGAACCGAACATTTTGTTCTTGGTGACGAATTATCTTTACAGAATCATCATTGATGTCCCAGAATTCGTCGAGTTCAAAACAGGTTCATTGAGTTCACTTACAGCTTTGGAAGAATTGTGAGTACAGAATAGATTCATTGCATGTCTTTCATATTGTATTGATTAGTCAATTCAGGATCCCCGTACCACTGCCAATGATGTTACAATGCATTATAAACTGTTATTACTGCAAGCCTCTAGCTTTGATCAATAAATCAAAATGACCGACAACAGTGTTCTGTGTGTAAAGATTCAGCGAGGGTAGGACCGGAATTCGAACAGTGTCGCTCAGGTTGTTATACTCTCCAAATCTAATAAACTATGCTACTTAGTCACCAGTAGTACGATGGATCTATCGAGTTAAAACATCAGGTATCTTGACTCAGTGTAGCGAATCATCGTAGGTTTTGTATCATTATGTTGATCGACACAGATATTACATATTACATTACATTCTTTTTCGGTTTACTGTATTTATTACAAAACTTATATATACAATATGTTGTCTCTTTTTTAGAATCGTTACCGTGACAGGTTTAACCATATTCCCTGACATATCGGCCACTGCATTGACTAAAATGTAAGTCATATGTTTGCCAAGCTATTTTAACAACGGCATTGTCACCCTTACATTTGTTTACATGTACGATATCTTAAAAGAAGGACTTAAATCCTATCCCATAGCCGTAATCAACAACAATGATAATTGGTAGAAAAAGGGTTATTGTTTACTTGGAAATGTGTCTATATTTAAATTAAGCTAAATATTTATGTTTAAATAATTTTAGTCATTTAGTTGTCTCTTGCATTTTGCATTAATTGACAGCCTTATAGTTTTTAACTTAGTTAGTTGATGTTTATAAATTGAAATATACAAAATAAAAATGCAATTTTTCTGATTTCAATAAAACTGGAACCTTTAAAAAACACTGTGGTGTGCGACAGTCACAAATCTGGTTGATTCAAATAATAAAGGGGCAGACATGAACAGGGTTATAGTATTACGATACCTGTTTATCGCTAAAAAGTTACAGCACTTTCAAGGGTTATCCATTACTATCGTTTATCAAACATGTTTTTAATTCGTTGTGATCTGTTTTGACATGCATACAGGATGCTTGCTGACAATGCGTTGAAATTCTCGAGTGTAACTCCGACAATCACGTGGCCAGCCTCTCTGAAACGACTGTAAGTTTGGTACCGTATTTAAGATCTAAAACGAGGTTCCGTTTCATGTAAACTATTTTACAAATTCTGTTGCAGTTGGTCTTTGTGGATGATTTAGAAAAACAAAACAAAAAAATCATGAACCTGTTTTCATTTATTTTTTTAATTTTCCGAACTTGAAGTCGTGGCCTTGATACTACTGCTGTTTGTTACAAAAATGAAATAGTTAACATATGTATTTAAGCCTCGTTACGTCGAAATTGATTGGACACTAGTACAAAAGGCGAGATATATGTTGGATTCGATATTTCTGAGTTATTTTAAAAGGTATTTAAAAAAATAGATCTACAAAGTGTATATTAATAGATTTATAAATAACCGAAATATATGAACACAATACATATTTAAATATCATCAAAGCACAAAAATAGATCTACAAGTACATAGTTATAAGTTTGTGATAACAGAACCTTTAGGACATCCTCTTGAGCTTTCGAGCATTGTACAGAACGATAAGCCGTTTTATGTAACTACGTTATCATATTTCAGATCTTTGATCCAGAACAAAATCGTGCATATACCGGATGGTTATTTTACTGGAAGCCAATTGGAATATATGTGAGTCGTAACCATTTTTCAAAAACCACGTTTAAATAACATCATACACTTTTGTTACCTCTCGACATAGTTTAAGAAGCGTTGAGTGGAAAATATTAAGAACGCATGCATATTAAAGTCGACAGTTGTATTTGATATATCGTCTATCACTACTTCACAAAAGAGTATTATTATATGATTGTCAATCAAAAACAACAAAAGAAAACCAAGTATAAACAAGAAAATAATTGAACTCAGAATCGATGAAAAGTCGACTAGGGCAAAATATTAAACGAAGGTTAGATCAAATAATGGAGATCCTTAAAACTCAATGATAGATTAGTCTTTTTGTGAAACCAGTATGATTTACTCCAAAAGATACTATTTATTCTTAGTAGGTAAAAAGGGAGTGTCCTTCGAGCGAGTCATTACTGTACATACCGTTCCGTATCGACTTTGATTTCGAATATTGTACTTGCACGATTACGTCTTGATATTTATTTTGTTTTGAATTATATATGAGCGATATCTTCAATAACGTATATGATGCGATGTTTCGTTTTATAGAGCACTAAGCCGAAATCAAATAAAATATGTACCGGGAAAGGCTCTAGCCGGAGTGGACAGTCTGACATTTCTGTAAGTAATGCGTGTATGTCATAAATGTTCTAATGCTATTTCCTTATCATAAGAGACTTAAAAAGGTTTTCTAAATTTAGATTTTGGCGATGAACTCTTATAACGTATATATATTAATTGGTATTGCCTTATTGATAATTTTCCTCTTCACATTGGTGAAAGATAAATGATTAACTCTCTACTTAAGTTTTATTCATTTGCATATTTTTTTTAAGAAATTACTTTTTTAAAAGAAGATATATGTATTGAATCCAACTTGAAGTACATACACAAACAAAAAACATTATCCAAAAACTAGGACCCCGATCCTATGGTATTAAGCTTTGAGCTGTTAAATAAAACTTCAAACACTCAGTTCATTATTTATTATAATATACTCTCCGTATATCTCATATAATCACTCTCATAATTGTATGCATAAAATTATGTATATTTCAAAATAAATTAATGCAATTTTGTGCCTTCAAGTGTACCTTTAATCAATCTTTCGTCGGGACTCCGTCAAAGCAATACTCATTAGTTTAATCGTGTATTAAAAGGCCCGTTTTAAATTAAGTGATAGTTTATTAATTAATAAAAATCAAATCGAGGTATATAGGTCCAAGTGTTCAATATGATCACTCTCATTTGACATACAAAGAAAACATATATCTAAACAAGTTTATTTGCGAATTTTAAAATATGAGTTCACATGTCAAAATTTTGTTTAGATTGATACAATTAAATGCTTCTCTTAAACTCTTATTGACGACTGAATAGCTATCGATTGCTGACTACATTTCCCTTTAAACTGTGTGTTTAAGCAACGCCTCTCTAACCTATTCGACAATGTAAAAAAATCTTAAATCTGTCCCATTTGTGCAAACAGCAGTAACACTTTTTACCGTGATGGGAAACATAAAGCGCAGTTTTAAATGATAATTTGGGTCATGCTTCGAAAAAATAACATTATATAAAAAAAACCATCAAATCACACTTCTATATTATCTACAAAAATACTCATCAAAGTTCATTGTGAATTAAATATATCATTAACGTGAAAGCTATATAGAAATATTCAAATATATATTTCCCATTTTTAGTTCCAGTTATCATGAATTTTTTAGTTATATAGCCGCAAAAAATTCTCATTTAAATAAATAGTCAACATTACATTTCACTTTTGTTTCAACAGGAGTGTGGATGACAATGCAATCAAAGGGATATCCAAGTCTCACCTGTCTTATCTAGCTACGTCACAGCTGAAACATCTGTGGGTATTAAAAAATATTGACATAGAGGCACAAATCTTTATATCTTCTCCATCCTTACTCATGTACGTATCATTTTATGATATAAAGTGTTAACACAGGACTGGTATAACTCCTAACGAACATTACAGACAATCTGCTATGAGGTTTAAGCGAGTGGCGTCATTTGTACCCTGGTGTCATGGTAAATTTGGGTTCAAATGACGGAGTCGAAGGTAGTGTATCGGTAAGGGTCATGATTCTTTTCAATGCATATATCCTTTTCCTGACAATTATCGGTGTACCATTGTATTAAATGTGCATATGAATTTTAAGCATTTAAAGAAATATATGATGGACGGAATACGACATTATTCTGAGATGACTATCTTATCACAGGAAGATAACTCTGACGTATTTGATATTCTAGAAACCTGAGTAACAACGTTATAAATTACATCGAACCATTGGCATTATCACAGCTCGGCCAGCTTCTTATTTTGTAAGTATATCTACTTTAAACCTTTAAAAAATACATAGTAAGGAAACTGTTTCGAGTTAATTATTGTTTTAATCATTATTGATTAGAGAATTGACAAACACTTATTAAATAAAAACTGTATAGTTTGTGTTAAATCAATTACGTTTTACAAGTAATTATTTTCACGGTAATTCACAAGATGAGAGGGATGCAAAACTATAATAATATTATAAAGAAATGTGTCAAAATAATTCTTTGTATCGTTCTCGAAAATAAAATCTCAAACAATAGTTTTTGAACGACAGTCAGGTAAATAAATAAATAAATAATTTTGCAAAGTGCGAAAATGTGTTGCTTTGTGGTATATAAGTATTAGATATATCGGACTAGAGTTTTGATACATCAAATATTGATGCAAAATATTGATTATATATAGCAAATTGAGAGCACTTCAAATATAACGAAATTTACGCAACAGAAGTCAGGTGATATGGAAACGATATGTACAACAATTGTATTTTGTTACAGGGAGCTACATAATAATCAGCTGACTGGGCTAAATAGGGGTGTATTCACACACATACCAAACCTAGTACATTTGTAAGTATCTACATATACAAAAACATCTCCAGTAATAAAAAAAATACTTTAATTACCTCTTAAGATGAAATAGAGAATTTATATAATGCTGTCGCAAAATTGTACACCAAATCTGAAATTGCGTTTGTGAGATTGCTATAAAGACATTGAACTCTTTGTTATATTTAATTTGATAAAATAAGATATTTAAATTAAATACATGATGTTCAAATAAGACATTGAACCCTTTGTTATATTTAATTTGATAAAAAAATAAGATATTTAAATGAAATATATTATGTACAAATGAGATGCATATTTGATTTACATGTAGGGATCTAGTGAAGAACCAACTAACAGTTCTAGAGGAAGACAGCCTTGCAGGGCTTCCGGCTCTATATACTCTTCGTCTTCACAGTCAGCAGCAGGGAAACGGTCTTACGACAATACACTACAACGCATTTAAAGACATAAACGGCAATCTTACAAATTTGTAAGTAAAACATCTTGTAAAAGATCAAGAGCAATCACGAAAATCTGTAAGTAAAACCTCATTAAAAACATAAACGGTTATATTAAAAGCCTATGATAATAACACAATTAAAGATGTCAATGACACTCTTACCAATCTGCACGTTCGAGGCCTTTTAAGACGTCAATATCAATTTCACAAATTTTAAGTACAACACCTTAGAACCATTAATTGTTATCTCACAAGCCTATAAAACAACGTTTTCAATTCAAACCCTCAACGGCACACTCAATTTATATCATTATGCTGCAATAAATTACTTATATACTACATATTTCGAATAAAAATCAACTTAATAAGTTAACAAAGTAATGTCTTTGCAAAAAGTCTTAATTTCATTACTGAGAAAACAGATATTACCGATTGTGTATAAACACAATATTAATAAAACATGTATATGTATGATTTCATTTAGAGACAAGGTCATTCATTCATTATGAGTCCAGAAAACTCTGTCATTTAGTAAACAAACTTTGTATATTTTTGATTTTCAACAATCTTACTTTTGCGTTTCCTGATTTACAAATTTACCAAAAACTTTAATAAGTCAGTCAGGAGTTAACATAGAATGCAGTTTGGTGATTACTAGAGTGTTTTACTTACACATATTAGTTGTATGTTAATAATTTATTCTGTTTTATTATATGCGGAATATGAAGATTAACTTGTAAATAATTTACTTATATATATTTAAAAATATGTTCCTAGGTGGCTGAGTGACAATGCATTGACCACCTTTCCTCATGGCGTGTTGTCAGAACAACAATACGACAAACTAGTCAATGTGTAAGTATGGTTGTCACATTCCTTCTGTTGATATAACGTAATGTGTCTGGAGATATTTAGTTATAATTAGTTAAAGATATTCATGGCAACTAAACGTATGCATACTAGGTACCGTAACTGTATTAAATGTAATTAAATGGGCCTTGATATGATTATAAAAGATTTTAATATTTATGAAGAATTTTTATTATTTCTATATCCTTATTGCATGAAGATTAAAGAATTAATTCATTCTCAATGTTTCTCTGTGATAAAATATTTTCTTTTGTTTTATTACAGACAGATTGATCATAATCGGATTTTCAATATAACCCTATACAGTGACAGGGACTTTCCTCCTAGGACCAAGACGATACATACAAAGAAAGAGAGAGCTTTTAAATTATGGAAATCTACACCATACATTGCAACGTTGTAGGTTCCAGCGTAAAGTTTGGAGATACTTATTTTCTCAAATATTTTCACCTGTATATTTTTGCATTATATAGGTCCAAGCAGTGTTGATCACCAATTTATTATTTCGCAATTTTGTATTCAAATGCATGTACAATGATAATGTATATTATAAAAGTTATGTTATCCCGCTTTCTGAAATCGTTGACCTAGTTGAAAAGGTTTTCTCATTCTCTAATGACAAATAGAATGTTTACTAATCACTTTTTTATATTCAAACAGGAACGCTGCTTACAATGTTATCCTAGGGATATCGCCGACTGATTTGTGTGGTCTGCAATACCTCCGAGACCTAAAGTTGGCAGCAAATACCCTTCTGAATAGTCAAACTTTCGGGGATGGAACTGTGGATTGTTTAAAGAGACTGTATCGAATGTAAGTCACCTTTTCCCTAAACTCAACCATGCGTATTTAATTTATATGTATGTATGTTGGGTCAAGTGATACTAAGGATGTTTTATCAATCTGGAACAAGTTTCGGTATTTTGAAACAGTCTTCAAGTCATTTTTTCAATTTGTTTTTAAAACAAAAGCAATTTCTAAAAAATAAATAAAAACTAACGGTCCTAGTTGAGTAAAAACACAAAGGTTATACAAATACTTGAATAAACAATCACACTTCGGTACAGTAGTAAAATTGAATCAATGCGTTTAACTTATATCTATGCTACTGCATGATCCTGCACGTTTACTTAATAATTACACAGTCAAAATGTACAAATCTAACAAAGATCTGCCGTTGTATTCTTGATGTTGCAAATAGAGACCTGAGCGATACCAGTTTTTCGCTGGTGCCGACGATGACTGATATGCCAAACCTACGAGAACTTAAAATGAACCGATGTGACCTCACTGCTTTACAGGCTGGCATCTTCGGGGATCTCCAACTGACACACATGTAAATATTTAACTAGGTCTCTAATGAAAATGTTAATGCATCCCTCTTCTATTTCAACAGTAGTTCTGGTCAATTTGGATGCCCCCCCCCCCCTTTGACCCCTACCATCACCGATGAGTCTCCTCGAAGGACGGAACAACTGTATGTCGCAATGCTATTTATTTCTGGCATACTGTATAAATAACTTAATAGATACATTTGCTATTGCTTCCCCTAGCAAATTAACGCGAAATAGAAATGATAAATATTAATTCAGTTAACTCAAACAGCTTGTTCGTCTATTCGTCTGTCCGGCTATGTATTCGCTCATTTTTCAATCTTTGAAACTTGTTGTGTATTGGCGGTTCCATATGTAGTTGTGTCCCCTGAAATAATTTTGTAGTTCGAATCATTTTAAGAAAGTTATGTCCCCTTACGTAAAAAGTTTGACAAAACTTTGTCCGGCTATGCATTTACTAATTTTTCAATAAAATAATTTCTTTGAATTTGTTTGTGTAGTGGCAGTGCCATGCAAAGGTTCCAACCCTTCCTCTTATGGCCTAATCCATATGATTTTAACAAAAAACATACGCATTACAATTTTGCACATTCACTGTATGATTTTGCCTATTTCTGCCGATTCTTGAAGTTTCTGTCCGTTTCTGCATCGTTTCGTTATAATATCCTGATTGAATTCTTCTCGGTGTTTTGAATAAGCATAAAAACTGAAGCGTATATGTAACTGTGATCACACTTTCTCTTTCATTAGCGAGAAAATGGCGGAAAACATGCTCTCGACGAGATAGGTAAAATGGATAGTTCAGGTAGCCCACCCTGAAAAATCAAAAAAGCAATGGGATCAAAACTTTAAACAAGAAAACAGAGAATGACATTTCCATTGTCATTATATACAATTTACGTGTATGCGGGGTTATACGTGTACCCTCCCTCCTCGGCGACAGCATTAGTTATTGTAATTATTATTATCTATTGAATGTTGGTTAATGGGTAGTCTTCGTTTAATACTATTAAATAACAAAACGGAGAATGTGTGTCTATATAATTACAATAATTATTCCTCGCTTTTTCACATTGAACTGGATATGTACTCTTAACATAAGAGCTAAATGTATACAGATACAACACATTTTTATATATCTAATAAAATTTATTGGCTGGTTTTGATATATCTATTTTCAGAAATATGGATGGCAATAAGATCATCACAGTTGAAAACAACGTATTTCCTCCATCGGTTATCTATATGTAAGTACAAATAATGTCAAACCTGAATACCTTAGGTTATATACTGAATGAAATAATTTAACGGAAATCATAAATTTATTTAAGATAGAAAAAAATACCATTTAGATAGAAATATATATACCATGAATAAGAGAGATGAATGACTGGTAGATACAGTTGTCTTGCTAATAGTTTAATCGAACAAGTTAAACCTTCTCCGTACTTTGATGTTTTCAGCTTAAACGTATATAGGTTAATTATAGGCTAGGTGTACATGTATAAACATACTCTTGTGAGCAGGTATTGATTGTTACGGCATTGGTTTGTGTGAGAAAATTACGTCGTTTTCTCAAAAATTGATGACGTTAATCTCACAAACAAATGACGTAACAATCAACACCTGCTCACAAGAGCAGGTAACTCTGTAATACGCAAAGACGGAATTGATCTACGTTTGTTTGGTAAACGGCATAAAATAGAGTTAGCTAGAATTAAAGACCCCGTAACGCTGTTGCACGAAATGTAATACCAAACGAATTTATTTCAGGAAAAGCACTATGAAAGTGTGAATCCGCGAAAATAAAGCGCGACCGAGTACATTTATTGTATTTGAAAAGCAGGAAAAGCAATACCGTAAAACTCCTACACATAGTCATTGTCGTTGCAATACAATTTACGATACCTTGGCTTTAAAACCAAGTGTTTGATAACATACTAATAAAAACACATCATCAAAAACCTTCAATCTCAAGCACCGTGTGTTTTATTCCAAATTCAAATTGTGTTGGTCAAACCAAATTTGCCATATCAGGATTAAACTATTTTTCATCTTTTACAGATTTTTACAGAGCAATTGCTTTAGATTTACTCATGACAATCCGTTCACCAATCTACTTAATCTAAAGTATCTTCACCTTGGTCATAACAAGATTGATTACATACCAGACACGGCATTCCACAACTGTACCTCTTTGAGAACACTGTAAGTACGTTAAATGCTCCTCACTGTTATATACAAGTCGCACCTTATCTCTGTGATTCGTCAAAGTACATGTAGAATCATAACAGAACAATGTTCGAACTTTCTAAACATATCAATAGTGTTAAAGATAATAGGGTTGGGATCTTCTGCTAAGATCACATCATGGTAAAGTAGCCATGGTAGTTAAAATGTCTTACAATTTACTATCGTCCGTACTGAATTCTCTTAATCACACTCATTAACGTATATTGTTTGTGTTCATTATGATTGGCTCATAATTGACATGGTCAAAACATATTAGATATTAAATTTTGGAAAATGTTCAAACAATAAAAAGTAGCTAACAGCAATTTAGATTTTTACTTTTTTTGTCTCAAGCATCACCGATGACTCATAGAAAGACAAAACAGCTGTATGATACAGTGCAATTTATTTTTGGCGTACGTTTTCTATAACCGAATGTTACAGGTGAATTCACCTGTGCATTTCTTATGTTCGTCTTTATAATTTCATTAAAACACTGATTTTGTTCGACAGATTACTTCACAGAAACAACATCGGTTGGCTATCTAAAGGCATGTTCAAAGACAGTCCATTAACTGATCATTTCTACGCCTATGACAATGATATCTCATGTATAGAGGATGGTACATTTAATCACACTAGTCGAATCAGCTTTCTGTGAGTATCAAATACTAATTATAGTAGTGCTTATTATAATGTAATGATAAATTCATCATAAAGGCTTTTGTGGGAATACTCGAGAACAACAAATGGATTTTCTCATTTTGGAATGTATTTATAAAAAAAGAAACGCCTGTTCTTGCTAGGTAACGTAATGGACCGACAAATCTATCCACCCACAGGTTGTGCTTCTGTGAAAGCAAAATATCCTTCAAGAACAAACATTACATTTATGAAAAATGTTTCATGTAGCTTTTTTTATCGTTAATGTGCATGAGGAGAAGCGAAGAACAAGAATATTGTTTTGAACATATGTTTCTACATAGATACATTCTTAAGATTTATGGTGTTCCTCAGAGTAAAACTTGTATTTGTTAAAGTTGATCATTAGGCCTACAAGTCGGTCAGAAGATATAGTATTTGCTGACTGTTTTATGATTTAGGAACTATATTCGGTAGTAGTATATGGATGACACACTGGTTATCATACAGTGTTTTGACGGTTTGTTGTTCGAACATGTTTTCTCATCGCTCGTTCCTTGATAAAATCTCGAGTCCACTTTTGGTGGCATATCGGTTTTATCGACGTGCCTGTGATGAGAAAATTGTTTTCACAACAAACCCTAAATACATAATCTACAAGTCTTTCCAGAACATCTAGTTAACCTCCGTAGATTTTAAGATAGTACACAATGTTTATAGTTATGTTGTGGTGAATGGTCACTTCCTGTTATCTATGTGAATCGATTAACGTTTACATGTCCTCCTTCTATATTGATGATATCATATTAATTGTAACATTTTAACTTAATCGATTCCTAGAAATGTACTTTTTATTGTAAAACCTCGATATAATTTTCCTTGACAATTGGTTGTAGTAATTTAACGACTTTTTAGTTTATTGATATTCTTAATAAATAAACAAATGAGTCATTTATGTTTAACGAGAAATACATTTTTGTGTTTGATAGCCAATCATTTAGTCGTTTGAAATACTTGCGACAATAATGTGACTTACGGTAATCTTTTTTAATTCCTGACCTGTATTACATTTTTTCAGGTATCTGTATAATAACAAATTGACAAGGTTACCGATGGGCGGGGATTTTTCATCCAAAACTGTCGTCATATTGCAACTGCAAAATAATCGCTTCACAGAAATACCATCAGGAGTGTTCGAGGATCTGTATGTATCACACTTATTGTAAGTACCCTTGGAATACCATCATGAAACACGTTTCTTCTTCTGAAGTATTTCAATTTTTCCTCGCAATGCGTTTTGTTTACCCACTACAGTAGAAGGCCACACTACTGGCAGTGAAACGTTTCTGTTAAACATACGTATTTCATCCCAATTCATACAGAAACAATGTCTTTACATTGCAAAATGAGTTGGAAACATTTTGAAATTGTTAGTAGTGTTGCAGAACATCATTGACAAATAACATGAGCAGCCGTACAACAAATAAACCCACTGCTTTTTTACTTAATAGATCCAATCCTTGAGTCGGATTTATATGAAAATAAAAAATAATAAAAAATATATTTATAATTCTTTCGCATATGTTTAAATCCCTTTAGTACCAGTAAATGGGCAAGCAAATCCAAGCAAAAAGCAAAAATAAATAAGATACTGATATTTGAGTATCAAAATATCGTATCTTGAAAACATAAGTAACGCGTTCTCATTTATTATTGAATATGACGGTGTATGATCTATATGATTTACTTTCACATCACATTAGTAAAGGAATCTACACGATTTTTTTGGTGTTTTATCCAGCTCTAAGGTACCATTGTGAATGGAGTTGCACCATTCCTATATTAAATGGAATGATATTAAACCTCTTACATTGTTTCAACGGCGCCATGTGAAAGCCTACAAAGTCGCGTTCATTGTCTCCAAATTGAGAATTCAGAACCATGTGATACTAAAATGAACAATGTAAAGAATTATTATACTGCTTTGCTGTAGTAACAGATAATAAAAATGTAGTGGCATATTCACTTTATTACACAAACTTAATGTTATAACGACACGTACAACGTGAATATGATATTTGTTTTGTGTTTTCGCTTTCAATACTTTCCACAATCATCACAGTCAAAAGTGTTATAGAAAGAATATGTATTGAATTGATATCTATACTAAACACAAACATTAATCATTATTACATTCTCATCAATCTTACAGTACAATAACTGGTTCCTCCATCACTACTGTGAGGTCAGGTGCTTTCAGGAATACCAGATTTGGAAAGGATTTTGACTTGAGAGGTAACCCACTAAAAACAATAGAAACGGGTGCATTTGATTCTTCGACGTTTAATATGATGTAAGTAGACGCTTAACTGATACGTAAAAGAATATTGTATATCATGTGGATATGTCGTCAATGTTCCTGAGGTTAGAAAAGTGTGGTAAACATTCTAACTTAAAAGTATGTATAAACTTAAACCTCAATACAAGAGCTGTATAGCTGTTAACATTGGCAGGGTTGAATCTTCTTTTGGACCTATATTTAATGTAGGTGTTATGTAATCATGCTAGCTGTATATCTGAATTCATTGCAAACGTTGTGTAATTGCATGCCTAAAATAGCCTGTATAGCTGTGTAAATTATACAATTTGATTCTCTGGGGTATAAAGGTATATAACGTTTGTCTTGTAGGTACATGAATGGTACGCAGATTACCCATTTACCTACTGGAGCATTTATGTCGGTGACCACTAGCTACTTGTTCCTACAGTCAAACGGTATATCTCACATTGAAGACGCTGCATTCGACAATGTCCATGTGAATATTGGTTTGTACGTAAATTTGTAACTTATGACAAAAGTTTTAGAAATACCGAACCATTGCAGACATTGGGAACGTTTGTTAAACTATACGCTACACATTAAGATTTTGTTTAAGAAATTATTTTTGTTCCATAAGTCTATCATGACAGGCTTGGAAAATGAACACAAAGCTATCTATTTTTTCTTTAATCTTCTATTTTCTATGGACGTGTGCATGGAAGTAGGAAGTGGCAATTGGAAAGACCAAAAAGATCGCATTATAAATATGTACAACTGAGTAATAATAGTAAAATATGAAAACAGATTTCCATATATCCAACTTAAAGGGAACAACATTTCATTTGAAACGTATGATAAAGATGAAGAAGTTATCTTATTTGAAATTTTTATCTTAGCATTTTTTGTTATTTACCCAAACTTCAATATAGGAATCAATTTCCATTTCTACAAACTATAAAGGATGGTTATGATTATTTAATTCTTTACATGTTAAACTATAAATATAATGTATTTAACAGCTGATACTGTATTAAACACGTACATGAACCTCTATGTCACAGATACTTACAAGGTAACAAGCTAACCAACCTGACGAATTCAGTATTTGCCAACGCGTCTAGTATCAATGGTATTTTAGATCTTGGTATGAACGAAATAACAACTGTTGCAAGTGAAGCATTCGATGGGTTAACATCGGTTTCATCAATGTAAGTTTGTGTTTTATCGATGGTAAGTATGTGTTTTATCAATGCAAAATGTGTCTATGTTCGTCGATACGTGTTAAACAAATGGAGTGTTTCGTGCAGATAGTAAATTGAACACATAAGCTAAAGAGTGTCTCTGTTTGTAAATATGTATTAAACAAATAGAGTGTTGCGTGCAGAGAATAAATTGAACACTTAAGTTTTTTAAGTTGAACATGTTGCCCCGATGAAGTATGCATTCATATAGGTTGTTTTTAATAATGAACTATTCTCGATTTCCATTGCAGCTTTTTAAACGATAATGACATTGGAGATTATCCAACGGCTGCCCTTGCCAATCTAGGAATTAAGCACGTGTAGGTAATCTATATATTTGACGTCTATCGCCACTCAAAACCGTTGCATCTATAGTTTTCTTAGAACAATAATATTTTGCATTACTTTATATAAATTTTAAGATGTTTTACTGTAAACGTACATCTTTCAGCGGTAATCTAATTTAAGAGCTTTTCAACATTTATATATTCCGAAATATATGATCGCGCTAAGTGAAGATTTGTATGCATTTTGAATTATATATACTGCGAATGCGCAAATTCACTAATCTGTTTGAGCATCATATTGTTCAAAACATCAGTTCTATAATGCTTACCAGGATAATGGAAAACAAACAAATAAACAAGCAAAACAAAACAACAAAACAACAAGAATACCGGAGTGTCAACAGAAAATAATTCAAACACAAATTCGATAAACTTGGCAAGATATGAACAAAGGAAACATTTACATGGATGACATTGGAAAAGTCAAGGAGAATAAGACCAGATGTTCCGGAAGGGTAAGTGTCTTCTTCATCGATGCCATGTAAATCATAGTCGAATCCAAGTATTTTCACGTCGTGACACCGAGAGCTCTGGTAATGACAACAACACCACAAAACACTCTAAAACGCATATTTAAAACATTGACCCTCAAATCACACAAAGGAATAACATATTTTCTTCTAGATCATGATAGCGACCTAATATACATATATTTATAATGTTTTGCATACAATTCAAATTAAATATTCTATAGTCATTTTGAAAGTTCATAATGAAAGTAACTGTCGGTATTTGACTCTAAATTCTCTTCGTTTCTTTAGCAATATTTCCAACAACAACATCACGGAATTGAGCCTAGTTGCATTTCGGGACCAGAACGACCTGGTCACGGTGAATATGACTGGAAATAGGGTTACAAGACTACGTAAAGGAACATTGTCAAATCTGGCCAACATGCGAACACTGTACGTTTATTACTGAATCAGAAAACTCATCATAAACATTTCCTTTTGTGTGTTCGTACCAAGATATTCTTTACAATATGAACAAGTGATGAAAAGTCATTAATTCCTTTCCCTCGATATAAGATTGATTAAACTGTTTTCGAAATTGTCATTATTGTTCTCCTAATGCTCTCTGCAGTGAGTTTTTAGACTCGTTTGATACATTTTCATTTTTTTGCTTATTATCCTCTAGAATTATGTTAATCCTTCGCCACATTTTACCAGGAGAAACCTTTTTAATATAATTACTTAAGCGTTAAATGTAACGACAATACGGTTCAACTGAAAACGTTATATATATAAACGAGGTCGGGATGAGATCGGGTTGGGTATTGGGGGCGAGGCGATGGTGGTTGGTATACCTCACATATCTGGTATTTTTCTGAATAGTTTGAATGGAATCTTTGAAATAAATTGAACGTCCTTTTAAATGTTTATACATAAAAGGAATAAGTTTAAGCCATAATGTTAAGCATGCATTTTTTTTATTAACAACAATAATATCATTTTGTTATTTACAATGTTCTTATAACTTTTGTAAATGAAGCCGCCATTTTCCCGGCTGGAATGTTTGGCGGTTTGACACTTAATATTTTGCCAGTTTTACGTTTGCGTTGCTGCTGCAGTTGATAGATAAAGGCTGTTTGAGAAAATGTGAAAGTAAAGAGATTATATCCATACCGTGAAACTTTAGATGTTTACAGTTATACGAAAATACATTGTAACACTGACCGGTATTGTATTATGGTTTTGTCTTATTTCAGATTGTTGAGCAATAATCTCATCAGCTACATCGAACCGGGTTCGTTTTCAGGTCTCTATTCCGTTGAACAAATTGATCTGGCTGACAACGAAATTTTCTTTTTTCCTGCAATGGAGAATTTGACGGACCTAGCTTTAATTGATTTAAGCAACAACCATCTCAAAACATTTGAAATTGCTGCTTTTGATGAGTTGGCAGACAACAAGGCTTTTATGACACTGTACGTGTATGAAATGAATTAACTTTGTTGTGCCTGAATGGGAGATTTCGATAACGCTAAAACATCATGACAAAATATCCGTTGAAGCTCAGATTTGAGTTTGCAAAAAAAAAAGGAATCATTTTACAATTTTTGAATTTATGATCTTTTAGAAAACGCCCCCCACTTATATTGATAAAATGAATTGAAACAAGAAAAATGTTTTCATAAAGGAATGCAAACTTAACAATTTAAAAATTGAAATGAATACTTTAAAAATATATATATTTTGTGGCATAAAAGTACGTGAAATCATTCATCCCTGTTGTGCAGACGTAGTTCTGAATGAGTCTTTGTGAGTGGGTATGGGATATATTATTTCCACCTACGTTGATATTAAGAAATACAGATCAGTAAGATATTTCTTCACAAATTGAAGTCCAACATTTTTGTCTCGGGTAATCTGGGCCTTGTCTTTAAATATTTTCAGGTGATATTAGTTCCGTCGGACATTTATTTTTTGACATTTGAGTAAACATTTCGTCTCCAATCAATATATTATTCTTTTATAATTTGCTTTCATTTCAAAAGTTCCCTGAGTATATCTGTATCATTTTATTAAAATAATGTCGTACTTTCCCGTTACTTTTGCTCTTAAATGTTTAAGTGATTTGACGGGAAATCAAGATATTGGGTGCGATTGCTACATGATTGAAACCTTAAAAAAGGTACGTAAGGTCATTTCCGGTGGTGCTTGCGGGTCACCAGAAAAGGCGGTGGGAATTCTTCTGGACTCCTCTTCAAACATTACGTCATCGAATGCGATATACTTTGTTATGGCAGATCCTGAAGTTTTCCTTTGTTGTAAGTATTTTTCATTAATTTAAATTCCTTAGATAGGGTTGTAAGATGTACGTTCCGTTAAGAGAACGGGATTTTGATTACTCAAACTGAAATACTTTTAAACTAAAGATCATTGAAGATCATTTCCATCATTTTTATTTTTATATTTTGTAATAGCTTTATTGGGTTATATGTCGTCTTTCCTGTAATTATTGTTTACTAGTTTCATATGAAACGCTTTATATATTTATATTCATAGAACAGTTACACGTATTGTCCTGTTATTATTGAACAGCTCCTGTGAACGTCACGGCGTCAACTATCACGTCAACTGATGTCACACTGACTTGGACGAGACCTGATCGCATCACGATATTGTCCGACACGGAAGCTGAAGCATGGTGATATTTTTGCTACCATATAGAACATGTTAATGCAACAGTGAGTGTACGCTCGTTGATAATTCCGGTGGCATGAACAGAATCAGTTCAGAAAATACAATTAAAAAAGTAACATCATGGAAAAAGATAAACAGAAACTAAGGTGCTTCTTTTCATTAGTAAGGAGTTTACTGATTTAAACGAATTTTACACACTTTCACGTGGGTTTAGACAGCTAATGGTGGAACGAATCTCTCAGGTTTTCTGCTTTAATTTTATTGTGACTATTAAGATGTTCAATGACAATTGTCATTGACTGAAATATGTATTGGAAATTGTTTACATTCATTGTTTACTTGATTTTTCTGTCGCCTATCATGATAAGTATGTACGAAGATCTGAATTAATCTTTCAACCTCTGTCTCAATACCTATAACTTCAGATACGTGGATTAAACAACGTTGATTAATTTGATTTTTTCAACCATGAATGACTCACCCGGAAAGTTATAGTAAATATTTTTATAATTTCAGGCGATATAACCTTACCTGTTCTAGTTCAAGTGGCAATGTGATAACTACCACAATACCTAGTATACAAGACTCGTTGAAAAACACGAACCCGTCAAACAACACTTTGGTAAATACAACCGACGCAAAGAATAACACTGGGTCGAATACAACTGACGCCTCCAACAGTACCGGAATGAATACAACTGACATATTCAACAACACTGGGTTAAACACAACAGACGTCTCTAACAGTACAGGATTGAATACAACTGACACATTCAACAACACATCTACAACAAGTTTACCTAATACATTTTCGCATACGTTCACAAAAGACGACAAAATTCAGGCTGACACGGAGTATGTTTGTGTTGTTGCTGTACTTGATGGAAATTCCAATTTCACATCTAGTCCGCCGAGTCAACCAGGAATAGTCAAGACACAAAGGGAAAGAGGTGAGTAACTTAATGACAGTGTAAACACATAGATAAACAATTACAAATACATTGAATATGTATATGATTTGAATCAAGGTCCATTTAAATTCAGTTCTATTTCAACTCCGTTTAATTTATCAACATAATCACATCATGACATCGTCATTTGTTTTGTTGACATTTAGAGCATCTTCGTTAGCAAACAGACGAGCCATCATATATTACAGACATATTTTACGTTGAAATATATCAGCTTTATTTGCAACATAACACCTTACATTATATTGATATAAGTCGTAGTGTATATGTTGTTAAATTCTCCTGCAGTGACACAACCAAATCTAACTACCAGTGACAATTCAACTAACTCGACAAATTCAACCTACGGGATCACACCTGCTGATATATTCGACTGGGTACTTCCAATTGTCTATTATGATTTTAGGTATGTACACATACTCTGTGTTTCTTTTTTGTATTGTACCTAATGGTATCCTCAGACATTATCATTTATCAAAATAAAGGTGTCCGGTTCGTTAACACTGTAATTTTTAAGCTCTTTTTCCTCCTGGTTTGTTGATAACTCAAAAAGAATATTTTGGAAACAAGTTTGTTATTTTTTTATATAGAAAACTTATTCATCAACATATATACGTAGTTAGATTGCAAGACCAAAGTAATTTATTAATTAACATTAAATTTCTGAATGATATTATTTTCTATAACAATTGGTTTTATTTCATGATGGATGGAAAGAGACATTTGTTGACATTTTCACTTTAAGAACTATGAATCGTTTTAGCTATTTATTAATTTCAAAATGTTTTGTTTGAATGGGAGAAAACGTTATAATTTTAGTCAAACACATCCGGACTTCGTGGGATATGAGACCGCCATAACCACTAAACCAACCTACGTACCAAGTCCGTTTGGTTCATGGTTGAAGCGGTCGGACAATCTTAGCACTGACTCCTTTTCCTCCTGGTTTGTTGATAACTTACCAACAAACATGGCTGTTCATGGTTTGATCACTTTGCAGATAATTGGAACCGTTCCACCGACACATAGGTGAGAAAAACCTGGTACATGTAAATATGTCGTTTGTTTTAATGAAAGTGCGTACGAATTTTTTATTTTTTGTAAATGCATCTGTGCTTTAAAGAACGTATCTAAGATTAGTTTCAATTTCATCCCCAGGTACGAATCTGAAACATTTTATCCAATCGATGGGATTGGTTTTGGGGACACTCAGAAGGACTGCTTTGGAAAAGACCACAATTTCGGGTGAGGAGTCGATACCATTATATTTCTGAAACTGAATTAAAATGGTGTACTGTACCTGGTTACATTAATTTATTAGCCTAGGCAATCGAATTATCTCGTGGATTTTCCTTTTTCATGTGTACACGACAAACTATACAACGTGGTATATTGTATACTCTAAACTCCCTTCTCAATCAATTACCTCAATAAATAATATGGTATTTTGTACTTTTCATTACTAAATATAAGCTTGCTTTGCTGCTGATTGACCATAGATCTCAACATGATTCCGTTAATTTGACTGTGACAATAACGGTAGGCCTATGTAGCAATAAAAGTTGTTTAATTCGAACCAAGCACTGATGCCTGCCTCTTCAGTCAGTTGTTAATACATGTACTTATATCTTTGTAAATCCAACATTCATTATTAATAATATTGTTAAAATCAAAACATGGCTGTCAGGAAAGTAAAACGCGAGAAGGAAATGGAATACGATATGAAACAAAAAAGTGTGCAATCAAATATATTTTTGGATCTGAAGTATTTGATAAGGGTACATGTAGAGCTGCTATGTATATGTATCGTCCGTTTGTTTAGCTTCACATCCGCTCTCCGAGTAGGATTTGTTTACCAAGGCATCGAAAACGAAACAATAGCCGTCGGGGGAGGGGATGATCTTTGGGTCTTCATCAATGACGTTTTAGTGTTAGAGGTCATTACTAGAGGGAGCGGCTTTCCATGTAAGATGATTGATCTTTCACCAGCATCAGCTGCAGGTACGTTTTAATTACAACCTATATATATTTGCTTTAATTAATGAAATAGAGAAGTAACATAGAAAAAAGATTTTGTTCATGGCATACAAATTAAAAATCAATACAATGCTCTTGTATTGAATGTGCTTTGTTTGTGAAGAATATGATGGATAGTTTTAGATAATCACAGCACCATATGTTATGCCTGTGCAATATATCTCCTCGAGTTAAAAGGTTTCATATTTAACGTGTGCCACTGTAGTAATGTGTATGCTTGTGAGTGTGTAGTGTACCGTAGTATACCTATTACACCATGTATGACCTCGTTTACGTATTGTTACAGGTGGTGCCGCAGTCACACCTAAGACAGGCATCATAGTCAGTGGACAATGCGTCGTTACAAAGACAGAATCGATCGACAGCGTGTTTCTTGAACTAGCGGTACATATTCTCATAGCTTCACCCTCCATCTGAATTGATGACGTCTTCTCATTTTTATTTGCTCTGTCATTATAAATGACGTTCGAAAATTAGTGTTAGTAATTGTCATATCATTTATTAATATAACGTCATTATAAATTATGCAATCCATTCCTTATAATCTGTGGAACTGTTACTATATATTGATGATTTACTGTAAACAAACAAAAGCTATGTAACAAAATATTTTCATCTATTGTGTTAGATTTGAATATTTTGATAATAGGTAGCACAATTATATTTGTATGTGGATTGTTCATGGGAACATGTTCCATCTGAAATCAAAAATTACATAGCATTTTACGAGTATATAATCTTTTTTTGTGATATCATCTAGTACTATTTTTAGAAAATACATTTCTAGATAATCCTTTATACATTTAGGTTGGTGAGAGATACCATATGTCAATATTTCACGCCGAGCGTATCACGTGCTCCTCAGGTCTGTATATACAGACAGAAAACATTCAGTTCCTTACTGACCCACTAAAGGAGTTCCCACCTGATTACGTCATCAATCCGTTGGAGGACTTCCATGTCAATGGAACGCTCCAAGAGCTGTACCTCGCCGACATTTTCTCAGTTGGACCTCCGTTCAATGTCACAATCATACAAGGTATGACTGCTTAGCATCAGATGCTAGGCTTTAGTGAAGCCTTAATTCAACTTCACTATCGTCTGAGATACGCATGCAAATTGATATGCACAGGCAAAAGCCGGGGTTAACCATGTATATATATATAGATAAATGCCTATTTCTATTAAATGCAAACTGGCGTAAGTCTGCATCTGTTTATATAAAATTGGCTTTTAGCGGAAAGATGATGCACGACAATTTGTCGATGCTTTTTTTTTTTTTTTTTTAAAGTATAATGTATACCTTTGCAAGAATGTGATGTTTTTGATAATGTAATTCCTATTTTTATTATCACCATTTCAATATAATCACAATCGTTTGTTCGTTTTCAACATAATTAATATGACAAAATGGGTTGATCTATGTAGCAGGTAACTATGTTGGCAATTTCAATATATACGTAGCTATCTATTCCAGCAAGTTGGTAGATTTCCTGCTATATAACCATACAGTCTCAGACCCAGAAACATATTTTAATTGTGAAAATTTCAAATTCATAGAAAAAAGAGCCTTTTTTTCCAACTAAGACAAAGACTAGTATATGAACAAAATAATACTCAACAATTTAGGGAACGAGGCAAGGCATTTCACAATACTGGACAATACTGCTGGAAACAATTTGGCAGCTGCGCCCCCTACCGTCGTAACCCAAAACTACACTACAGTCGACAGTTTATCCTATGTTGGTAAGTTTCCTCTCAGAATGTTTTAGACTTTCTTCGTATGATTAAGATTTAACAATATCACGAGAAAAAATGTTGGAAAATATATTTGGAGAGTTTCTGGCGTTCATATGATCATGCGCCGTACCAGGCAACATGTCATCAGGCTCAGACATCCATGAACAGTCTCAGCATATTTATGGTTCCTTTCAGTGCTCGGCGTCAGAGATGTTCCTCAAATCTTTTATCGAGGATCCCAATCTCATTTAGAGTATCGGTGTTTTTCTTACACCATCCGCCTCTTGTACCAATGGCAAAACCTGACTTTAACTATGTTCACTTTAAACTGTTCCTTAACCACATCCACTAGGTGAGAGTACTTTGTCACTTTGGCAGCGTTGGCTTTGCCTAACGCGCCACTTTGCTCATATACAGTGGGTCGGGTCAAGAACAACTGCCGTGTTGCCTTTTGTCAGGACCATATCCATATAAAATAAATGTGAACATTTCATATATGTATTTGAAATTAAATGTGTTTATTTATCAACTTCCATGTTATCCGTATCATCAGAAATCATCATCTTCTGAAATAGTATTTATAATCACCGTAAATTTTCAATTTTTTATATGATCATTTATTATGTAAATTATACAAAGCGAATACAGCCTAGTCTGTATCAGCCATCAATGCTGATGCATTCCAAAAGTAGTTCAGTGGCATCATAACGTATGTCTGTCTGTTTTGTATCAAGTTTGAAACCCTACAACATTTCACTTTATCTAAGGTTTCATTGAATTCCTAGGTCTTCTGAAAACAAATTTGATCCCTGATTTTTTTTTTGTTATTTAGAGTGCCCCGACCCTTCACCAGTGACTCCTCAGGGTAATGACACATCTATAGAAACATTCATCGTAAACACTGATGTGGCTCTGTTCACTCTCGCTTTGCCGTTTGATTACGAGGTTAGCAGCTCATATAATGTTGTAATGGAGATTGTCGATCCTGGAAAAAATCCGCCATCCAACGGCACAATCACAATCAAGGTATGCAAATACTATAAATATACATTTGTACGTAATAAGTTGAATATAGTTTGATTCTTACTGTACCAAAAGTATCGTATTGTAAAGAAAAATTGTAAGATGTTTAAATAAACATCCTGATTACAGACTTCATCTAGGTCACGGTGTTTTAATTGTTTAAGGTCACACGATTTATCACTATCATTGTTCAAATTCCTATAATTAATTGTAGTGTAGATCATGATGGTGCTTTGTTTAAAGAGGTTTTTTTGAAATATATTGTGAAAAATTATTAATTCTAGCATTCCAATCTCAAAGGAATATATTAAGAATAGAGAATAAGCAAAGGAATCATAAAGAGATAGGTTAAGTGACACCAGTAATTGTAATAAAATTATTGTATCCCGATTGAAAGCTCCGGGAACGTATAAATCCTCAAAATAATGTGTGCAGATATGTTCTTTAAATTTACTGACAGGTCGGTTTCCTTTGAATGCGAGTTGTAATTGTCAGGAAGCACATCCTGTTTCAGTCCAATTAATGAAATACATATAATTAGCTACTAAGGTTTATTCATTATATCAATTCTTCGATTTATTAAAGCTCTAAATTAACGAGGTGTCGTCGAAATTGCGTCAACAGGTAAACGTACAAGATATCAATGACAACTGTCCGGTGTTAAACGAGACCAACCTCCACTTAAAAGGCGATCCCGCCCTGCAGATCCTTCCTATCGCTACAATGACAGCAACTGACGCAGATAGTGGCAACAACAGGGTGGTTTCCTACTACATCTCTACTGTTATAGAAAAGTAAGTCTATCTTATCTACATCTTTGTTCACCTATCCGAGGAGGGAATGCTGTCCGGATAACTCCCCCTTAATTCTTCAGCCGAATTTTTCTGTAACTGCTCAGATGTAATCACCACTCTTAAGTTTTGCGTATCTATTACTTTTTAAGTCCGGCTATTTTTGCGGGAGTTATGTTCCTTTTACAAAATAATTTGGTTCTCTCATACCGGACAAATTCTGTAGTTTTTATCCAAAACGCTACATATATAACTACCACATGCTGAAAGCATTGGAACCGGAGAGGGACGTTGCATTGACTTGTTGCTTACTAGCCTTAAAATTTATTTAAATCTAGTTTTAAAACAACTACTTTGACATGATATTTACATCATAGTCATACCCACTGCTTTCCCCTCCGTTCATGTTTTCTCATCCTCTTTATGGGCACTTTACTTTTTTTCTATAGTTTCTCTGGAAGAGGGTTTTCACCTGTATTAAAGATATATACATTTCTTTATTGTTGTATGATATATTGTTTTAATCACGTTAGCTCATATCATTTTCACTTATAGCATCAAACTGCATATATTAGCTACGTTTTACTTTTTGAAAACAATACATCCGTCTCATATACGTGCATCATACCTGAGTGTATCCTACAAGAGCAAATCATTTCGTTGGTTTCCAATATGCACAAAAGTGATCTTGTAGGCCATGCTATTTGCTCTAATGAAACGTTAATGGTGCCCCATATCGGCATATAGTCATGTTATTTATGACGATCATATCACCGATGTCATTAAAGTAATGCTTCTATATTTTACCTTAGATTGCATAGTAATGCATTTAAATGTATTTTAACTTGCACAATACGATTATTTGCCATGTAATATTGCCTATACAGTAATGTTTCTAAATCCTGCATATGACGACAAGTACTTTAACGAAAGAAAATGGTAATATTTTTGTTTCAATTGTTGGGACGTTAGTGATATTCAGTCAATTCATTAGATTTCACAAATGGCTGTACAGTTGTTGTTTGATACTATTTACTACATCGTGTAAGATTGTTAAGATGGTACGCGAACAAATTGATTTCAGACAATACTATTAGTCCACACATGTACGAATTTTCGTTGTTTGCACTGCTCTCTAGTAGCCTTGCCATTACGCATTGTGTAACCCTATCACGTTTAGTTATCACATCAGATATGGTTTGTACTTTGAAACGCCATATTCATTATCGCGAGACATTGACGTTGCTATTACAACGTTGTAGATCTAAATAATTTGCCTTTGTCCCATATCGGCATTATAAGTTAATGATTTATGACGATCATATAGTCCTATATAGTGGTTGAGAGATATGATATTTCAATTCTTAAAATATAACTTTGGTACCATAATCCTATCACAAAAAGGAAAAAAAAACCGGTTTTGATATAGGATATTACGTAAAGTTACCATAAACAGTGTTATTTTGTTGTCGACAAATGAAAACGCTTTGAATTGCAAAACAAAGGATACAAAAGGTGTTTAATGTACATTTTAATTTGGAAAAGCGATCTCTCATGTAACGCATGTAACTATAAAATCGTTATATACATTTTCGTCATATAAACTATAAAAGTGTATAGTTTATGCTCATTGTACAAAATGAATTAATCAATGATCAGTAATCACACTATTTTTCTTATTCCTGAAATAGTCCACCGCTAGACTTAAACCCCTCCCTGGACCTGTTTAATGAAGTATACACACAGACCACGAATCTCAGCTTTTCGATAATTGCACTTGACGGCGGATCCCCAGCCCGTGGATCCAGAGCAACATTGATGTTTGAGGTGGATAACTCCTGCCTTATTGATGCTTTGTACGGTCCTGTAAATTACTCTCTTTCTGTGGACAACACTACGGGCCAGCTCGTGTTCAGGGCGCCAGGATATTACGTGTACTTACACAATCCAGGTAATGACACTTTTAGTGTCAAACCAATGCAATGCAAGGCAATAAGACCATACTATATGTAACAATTCTTTGTACTTCCGGCATTTAAATGTTTGATTGTTTAACAAATTATTATCAATAAGAAAATAAGAATTCGTGTCGTTTCGGGAGTGCAGAAAGATCTCATCGGTACACATATTAAAACACGGAGAGCCTTGTGGCTACGTGTATACATTAACTTACAATGATAGCGCACTAGTCTGTTTGTTTAAGTTCATATTCATATATATTGCATACTTATTGTCTTGTCCTCCGAAATAGAAATTGATAATACCTCTTTTTATCGATTTCATATCCTGATTTTACCCACTGTGCAAAAGTATTTATCACGTTAATGTCAAACGATTTTAATTCTATAGCCGTTACTACTCCTTTCCTCCTGCGTATGGAGTTTACATGTTAAAACCGATCTACTGTTCAAAAGCCTGTTCTATGTTTCAATATTTCTGGATTGCTGTGTCTTGTTGAAAATGCTAGTTAGTCAGGGATTTCAACATGAGATGTTTGAATCTACGCTGTGGAAATCATATTGAGGTTATCACAACGTAATTTTCAACGTGAGCTTTAAGTAACAGACAAGATTTAAATCATCGTTTACCGTATCTGTGGTTACCTATATACATGTTTTCCCTTGATTGATATCATATTTAATTAAACACTTACTTTTCAGGAGTAACTTTAGGTTCATGATATATTTCCTTTTGTTTTGTATTTCGTCAGTTCACGTTGTTTTCTTATTTGAACAACCTTGAGTTCGGATTTTATATGTATTAGCAATGAAATACATTTTCTTTTTTTATGTTAAAGTTTCCTATAGAAAAATGTGTATGAGTACATTTATGCATGATATTTTGACTTTACTAATTTAAGTTATAACACATTGTGTGTGGTAGCATACTCATTTCACAAATAACTCATCTTTGTGAATTTTATTTTTTTGAGAATGCGATCAAGTGTTGGGGATGGAGTCCGGGCATATAGGAGAAAAGGACATTACAGCATCGTCCTTTACCTACGAGGGCAATCCATGTCGTGCCCGACTGAACTTCCCTGGCGTTCCACGTAAGCGTGAAGTAATATTAATATGTTTCATACTTCATAACATTAGTAAACATGATTTTACATCGCAAACATAATTAAAGGATAGTTGCATTTCGTTATGTCAAAGACCTTGTTACCTTGCAAAACCTTAATTTTGTGTCAAGAACATAATAACCAAGGTCACAAACAACCATTGTACAATGTACATATCATTTGATAGCAATCGTACGTTTTCTGATATTATCCTTCAGACCACCATGTATACAGTTAATTTGTTCAAAATACATATCATTTGATAGCAATCATACATTTTCTTATATTATCCTTCAGGTCAACATACATACAGTTAATTTGTACAAAGTACATATCATTTGATAGCAATCATAAGTTTTCTTATATTATCCTTTAGACCATCATATATTCAGTTAATTTTTAACATTTTACAGATACTTTGGGAAGCATCCACGGAGGGTGGACTCCAGTACCGGACGCTGACCAGTGGATACAGGTGTTATTAAACAGCTCTTATAAGATCAATCAGCTGATGCTACAGGGACAGGCGGATGAGGATAACTGGGTCACCAGCTTTGGTATCACATACTGTACCGACGGTGTCACGTGGCTTAACTATACAAATGGGACTGGTGATACAGTACATATACGTTTTAAAACATAGTTAAAATAATATATTTCAGATCAAATTTGATAAATTATATTTCTATTGGACTGCGACAAATTAAATGATGTGATGTCATGTTCGTAATACCAAAATATTAGATATATGATATAGTTAACAACATTTAGAAAATATATTTTCGTGTTTACTTCGCTCCAAAATTGAATATAAAAAAAAATGAAGTTATATTCCTGATGCCAATATAATGATACTTATTGACATTTGATTATTCATATTTTAATTAATTGTAAGTCAACAGGTAACATAATCAGGCGAAAACAGCTTTTGAAATATTACATTGTTTTTTAATAATTCTATTAGTACACCTTGATACATGTACTTTATCATATTTATTCAATAAATTCGATTTGTTGGCGACATTTTCCTATCTGAAATCTCAAAGACTTTGTATATTTCTATGTATTTTAATGTCCCAGGTACCATAAAATAATAATATTATAAATATAATATTAATACTGTAAGTCTGTGTTTTTCTACTGAAGACTTTTGAAGGAAACAGTGATAGGGATACAATAGTAACCAATATGTTGGATCCGGAAATCATCACTCGGCTGATCCGAATACACCCACTGACTTGGAACAATCATGTGGGCCTCCGCCTAGAACTCGTCGGTTGTTCTGAATTGCTATTTAGATACTGTGAGTAATGCACAAGCTTACTTAGAAGACTAAAACTTTGTTTTAGCTGACTAAAGCCATTTGCCACCTTGTTTTGTGAATCCAGTTTCAATAAAAATAAATGCAAACAGTATGATAAATAATAAATCGTTGAAGTGTCCCATGCTCCACATTCGTTGCACGTTGATACATGCATGTAGATCCACACTTATTGATAATAATGGACTTACATTTTTCACATGTTTTAAATGTATATTATAAAGCGATACCATTTGTCTTTTAGTCACACTAAATGTTTCAAGAATCAATATCGCTAAAATATTCCTTTGCGTATGGTATCAATGACATCAATAGTCTGATTACGTCTTCAACATCCCACAGACCGGACGACCTGTGAGCGATGTCTGACCACCAACTACTGTGTAGGAGACGGGACCTCGTTACCATGTGGACGGTGTGATCCGCTCCAGGCCAACTCCACGTGTGGACGCTCTCAGACAGAACACTCGTTTGGACTTGCGTCAGAATGTACCACATGTCCACTCGGCTGGGTAGGTAGTGTGTTACGGTATTACTTATAGATATTTTTCATTTTGGTTTCAATTTTCTGAATGTTTCTTGTTGTTTGGTTAGTTTTAAGGTTTTACGTTTCAGTCTATCTCTTTTGGTACCTTTTTATTCTGATAGATGAACTTCATTCTGCAATGGTAAACTTTGTTTGGACAATTAATCTATAGCAATATTTGTACTGAAAAATCAATAAATGATTATAAATTTTGGTCACTGTAATTGTAAATGTTAGAGTGATATCTTATTTTAAAGATCGTTGCTTATGAAAATTCGGTTTGTAACAGACAACTTTCGGATGTCTGAAAATAAATGTGCTATATATACATCTAACGATAACTTTTGTTAATATCAACATGAAAAAATTGATTTGTGAAAATAAACAAAGCAACTTCTTAATAGAGTATAAGCTTCGTATTTTGATATTTTCCATACAAAACAATCACCGCATTTCTGTTTTGAATAATTTACGCAATAAATAACACAATAATCTTGGCAGTAAAACAAATGACAAGATTGGAAACAAAACATATTCCTACAAGTCCGAATATTTATTTCTTATGAGGTTTATACTTAATGAGAAACGAAACTCAATTAATTGCTCAATTTTCACGTCCTCAATTGATTAGCTACTCAAAAGCATGACCTTTAAGATTTGGATTCAACTGTGCCCTTTTGACCCATTAATGACTATTAGGCCTCTAATGTTTCATTTACTTGAAACGCATTAATCTATACTGAAGAAATTAAATATACGCAATCATGAACAAAATTATGTTTTACATCGTCGGCATTGGCACAAAAAACCACCGGTGCAAAAGTATGACACATGAAACCTTTGCGGGAACATTTAGTACTCATCTGTATCTTTTTGTGAAGGATTAGCAATGTCTTTTGTTTTGTTATCTAACTTTCTTTACCTCGGTGTTGCATTTTTTCAATTTCGAGATCCTTTTTCGTTCCCGTGTGCTAATGTTGTGGTACAGTGTATTGTTTTGTGTTTACGCTATAGTTGTGTAAGGACGGGTACACGACACCCTGTCAAGATTTTCACTACGTGAACTGTTCGGATATTGACTGTCCTTCGGAATGCTACCCTTGTGAGTCAGGGAACGCATGTCGGAAGGGGGTGAGATTCCAGTGTATTGAGGGGACATATTCGGATGGAACGGCCGGTTTGTAAAATTTCTCTTAATTATTTCAAACTTTCTGTTATTTTTTATCATACATATTTTCCAAATACCCCCTAAAACATAAATAAAGTGTCCCGAGGCACATTTCAATTAAATACATGTACACGTTGATACATGTTACAACTTGATTCATGTATGCACAGTTGACATATGCATATTATTTCACTTTGTTTTCTGTTTTGGCACTATCAATTTACCCATTAATTCATTTTTACAGGGACGTACATAAGTTTTACAATAGATAACATACATGTATCTTTCACGTTCAGAATGCCTTGTCGAAAATGATCATTGACATAATAAAATGTGTTATTTTACTCAAAGCCGATATTTACTTTGGACCAAACAATAGCAAACACATCGGAAGCCCAAGAGCAATATAATTAATGATCCTCTTGATATGGTTGGAAGTGTTAATGCTTTTTTTCGATGACAATATTGCAGAGTTTTGTCAGCTGTGTGATCCAGGAACTTACCAGGATAAAAAGGGTCAATCGTCATGTAAGCCCTGTCCGACAGGCTACGCATCATCAAACACCCGAAGAAGTTGTGACGTATGTCAAAGAAGGGCGTACCTTGACTTTGACACTGGGAGTTGCTTAGCATGTGACTCTCATGTCCAGTGTCCTTGTCTAGCTGATACGTCAATCTGTCATACCATACAACAATGTTATAACTATCAGACTGGACCAGGTACATACAGTCACGGTTGTCTCCCCTGTCCGCATGGTTTTACAGGAGACGGAGCCACGTGCACTGACATCGACGAGGTAATCCTCAGTTCATCACATTTAAGTTAAACATTTTGTTGCCAAGAAAAGCAGCCAAATTGCACTTAATTCTCAATTTCGAAAACTTATTGTTGGAAATTGTTAACAAAACTAAACTGTTAACTCATCATTTTGATTGTGGTTTGTCATATATACTTACAGAGGAAACGATCAAAACTGAATCAATTTTGAGTCAAATACAAATTTACAAAACGTTTTCTTAATCTATTTGAACAAGTAAGATGTCTCGCAATTTGATTTATTTCTTTGCTTTAACATGTTAATGCTTTAATGCCTAAAAAATTGCAATTATATTAATTCCACTAACTTCATTGTTCTTACCAATCTAGTGTGTAGTTTACGAACCTTGTTGGAATACAAGCAGCTGCATTAACACGTCCCCGGGGTACCAGTGTAAGGCGTGTCCTTTCGGGTACACGGGGACTTACGAAGACGCTCTAACTATAGACCTTCACAGACGGACATTCTATAGGCAAAATCAAGTACTATCGTCCGAAAACCAAACCTGTACCGATATTGACGAGTGTTTGTTCAGCAATGGCGGATGTGACGTCAATGCCTACTGCCATAATACAATCGTATGTTTGTGATAATATATTAAGTTCACTGTTCTAATTTTAATCTGTATAATAGTCAGGTTAACATTCAATTAAAAGTAAAATTTGATTTATCTAAAACCTTTTCAAAACATTTTACTGAAACTGGTTTACAGGTTGAAGACGTATACAGAGTGACACTGTCAACCCATGTCTTCGATCGCGGCAGACACTAACCTGACATAACTGAAAACCACGCATGTTTATTATTTTGGAGTTAAAGTAATCTGGAGACCACAATGTTTAATTTTCAAATTTGAAAGTTAAAGTAAAATACTTATATAAATAAAGGGCCAAATCGACCATAACTGCAATAATGCTAATGTAAACATTCTCTACATAAACAGTTGACTACTATCATATAACACCTTTCTACTATTTTCCAGGGAAGTTTCTATTGTGCCGACTGCATGCCTGGTTATATTGGGAACTTGATCGTTGGTTGTAGACTAGGCGACTTCTGTTTGTCTGGGGAGAACAACTGTCATGAAAATGCTGAGTGTCATTACATCGGTTTGGGGGAGTTCCGCTGTATGGTAAGAGCCAATAAGTTATACATATGTTGTTTGCTGGTTACATTCGACATATTGCATATTGATATAGTGTGATATGGAAGAACATTAGGACCACATAGAAAAAAAAGCAAATTTCGTTTTTTTGTGGAACTAGATATGTCGACTTACTACCTCGACATTTCGAGGTAATAACTCGAAATTTAACTGAACTCGGACATTTCGAGTTATTAAGTCTTAATTTCGCATGAGAAACACGAAAAACGAATTTTATTTGTGGCTCTAATGCTCTTCCGTAGTGAAGATATTATTTAATGATGTCCTTTTCTTCTATTCAAGTTTGATATGGTGACAATAGTTACTGAAAAATAATTGCAATACAACAAGTTGAATATCGCATTTGTTTTTCTGTATTTGATGAAAGTGTCGGAGCGAATGGGCAGGTGACGGAATTCAGTGTGGAATTGATTCTGATGGGGATGGTATATCAGATTACATCATTCCCTGTAGTTCTAACAGCTGTTTGGCCGTAAGTAGAGCTTCAGTAATAACTTCACACTGGTAAACGGTAATGTCAGTATCTTCCGATGTTATTATACATACTCTCTGTTATCAGCTCAATACGGTTTGATCACATTCTGACAAGAGTATGGACATATAATGTATTATCTAAGTGGTTATTTGAATAGCATTAACCATTAATAGTTGAGGTGAAAAGTAATACATATTTTGCCAATTAGCATCATTACATAATTAATTATCAGAAAAATTAGGATTGTAATGTATGCATAATTCCTACAAAAAAGGTCACTGAAAGAAACGCAAGTAGGTTACATGGGTTGCTATTTAAAGCTAAATGAGGTCCTTTATAACGTAACTGTATAACGATTGATATATTATGTCAGGATAACTGTCGATATGTGGCTAACGGGGGTCAGGAAGACAGCGACGGAGATCGCGCCGGTGATGTGTGTGACGATGATGACGACAACGATTACATCTTCGACACAGAAGTAAGAGTGATTATATAACTTTTATTGACGTTTAATGATAAAGATAATGACAAACTCACATAGCTTCTACTTTTGAGTGTTTTATACCGATTTAAAATATATAAAAATAAATTTTACGTTGGCAATGACATCTGTTCTCGTATCGTTGTAAAGGACAGTTTTTATGTTAATTTGGAGGATATTTGGATATTATTTTGTGATCTGCAGTGTTAAATAATACTGTAGAATGCCGTTGATTTTCCTACTTCTTATTTCTTACGTATGTAATTTTTAAAGACATTTGTAAATCAGAGCTGACGGAACATGCAATAAATATAAGTAGAGGTGTACATATGTATTCAAGTATTGAGTATGTCATTAGGAATAATTAATGATTGATAAAGACTAATCCCACGCAAATAGACTAGTCATTGTTTGCTATTGATTAATTATGTCATATCTTGTGATTGAAACCAGTTGTCGTTTCGTTTCTTTATAAATTTTAGGATAACTGTCAATACGTTACCAACCAAATACAGACAGATGTGGATGGAGACGGTCGGGGAAATCAATGTGACAACTGCATCAATGACGTCAATTATGACCAGTCTGACGTCGACGGTGACGGGCTGGGTGACGTATGCGATGACGATATAGACGGTGATAGCATCCTAAACGGACTTGATAATTGTCCGTATAAGGCAAATTTAGGTAAGTCTTAACCCTAAGCAGGCAATCTTTGTTAAGCCTAACCCTTTAACCCACTGTAGACCATAATGGACGCGTCCATATCAATGCATGGTAGAGTCTACTAAAGTTGCATATGGGTAAAAGGGTTAAACCAGATGTCGCCCTGAAGCTTTAATTGTTTCAAATAAAAGGGAACAGTATACTAACACCATAACTCAGTTGAATGAAACGGCAAACTCCACTTCAGTTCAATCTACAATGACACAAAGGTGTGATCTTTGGGACGAGCTTCGTTCATTTGTTCCAATGTAAACACTTATCATGATCTGTTTATGGGATGTTTCATTTGTTCTCTTTTCGCTAAGATTTAATTTGTTCTGTCTCTCTTTCGTTGTCTTAAAGAAATATTGATATTGCTCTTATAGTCATATCTGGAAACTAGTGTCTGTGCACTTAATTGGGGGAGACACATTCCTTTGAAATGATAAAATGTATGTTGAAATTACAGGACAGGCAGACACTGACGGTGACACTGTGGGGGACAGCTGTGATAACTGTAAATCCGTCCCTAACGCAGCACAGACCGACACAAACCAGAACGGGGTCGGTGATGACTGTGATGGACAGGACAGGTACACATCACAATCGTTATAATATGGCTAAATCTTGCAAACATTGGACTCAAATATTTTATTTCGATATTTACCTAAACGAGCCAGAAGAATACAATTTGTACAGATGTCGAATTCTGTTTGCTTTGTTGGGAGAAAACAAATTACTCCTTGAGTGACACAAGACTGGCTACCAGCCCCTAAGTCTTTATGAAGGATTTCCTGGCCACATTTCACTTCTACCTTACATGTTTCTCCCCCTAGTTAAGAACTTAGGATCAGACATCCAAGTGATACAAATTATTAGAGTTCATTTTTTTCTCTAAATGATTCAATATTCTAGAGACGGGGCCAGTCTAGAGTGACACCCTTGATAGTATGTTTCTGTGTTAAATCAGTAAACATGTATATACCTTTACAAAAGAGAAGTCAGTTAAACTTTTCTGAATGGGGCAGGTATACTTAGATTTGAAAAATCGTTGCAAGATGGTCGTACTCTGAGAACGAAAAAGTCATTATTTGAAAATATAAACTTTTGTTTTTAAATTCGTCATTAACTATTTGATGTAAATAAACGCATTTATGTCGTACCCTCTATGGTATTCCAAAGAAAGTATAACAATTATTCGTATTAATAACTTTTGACGAACAGTGATGGTGATGGCGTAATTGACAACTTAGACAACTGTGTTAATCTCCCCAACTCCGTACAAACAGACACCGACGACGACGGAATGGGTAGGTATCAAACCCTCTTATACAACCATGGTCACTTCAACTGATTAAGATTTAGTGGCCAACGTGACCAACTGAACACAATTACTAACGTGTCAAAGGAAGTATTGATGTTAAAATGAATAAACATATAATGAACGAAAGCAGCGCCATCATGGCACCTACATTGTTGCTGAGGCATAGCAAACATACACTAACATTGTACTCGCCACATACACATACATTGTACTCGCCACATACACTTACATTGTGCTCACCAATACTGCGAAAGATCCCTCTTCATCCGCCTCGAACTAGCATGCAGGCTGAATACAGCAGGCTATATTTCCATCACTCTGCTCATTGTTAAAATTATTGTTTTTTGTTCAAACTGACTAACTTCTCAAAGCATTTAACAGGAACGAACTTACAAAAACAAAAACAAAAAAAAAGGAACTAAACGCTAACTACATGTATCTAATTATACAAAACGTTTTTATTTAAGCAATTATAGCCTATTTGAAAGTATGTTAGCTTGTAGAACAACAATAATGCCAATAAAGTAAAAGTCACGTTATTTCACAGATGTATTTAAACCAGACACCCTAAAGCATCTAATCATATGATGCATACACTAGTCTAGTTGCCATCTGTTATTTTTGTCGTTTATGACAAAGGTGAGGTTTAATGTATCAATCTTGTAATATTTTGTTCTTATTGTGCCATTTCCATCGCATGTTTATAGAAGTTCGATACTTATCCACTACAGATAACATGTATAATGTATAAATACGGTTTTAATTTAGGTGATAGCTGTGACGATGATATAGACGGTGACGGCGTACTGAACACGGCCGATAACTGTGTTTATGTTGCTAATCCAGCACAAGAAATGTTAAATGGTAAGAACAGGTCCCTCACAACTATAGATACGATAGATTGCAAGGTATATTTAATGATGTAAATGACAACACTTTTTGCCAGATACACGACTGATAAATTGGTGTGTTATTGCCAGTGTTATTTTGGTTTGGTAACTTATTTATATTAGGAAGAAAAACAATATCTTATTTTGCACTTTTTCATCTATAAATCAAGAATATCATCCTCTATGATTGAATTCCTTTGTCAAAGAAGATGTATAATAACAAAATGCATATCCTCAAATTTCAGTTAAACTTTAATGAAAATACTTGATCCAAATAACTGTTCACACAGGTCACAGAAGCAGGGGTGATGCATGTGAACAAGACATCGACTTTGATGGAACACCAGACTTTGACGATATTTGTCCATTTAACAGAAATATTGCAAACGTCACGTTCTCGCGCTTCTTCACCGTCGACCTAAACCCAGAGTGGACTACAGAACTGTCCCCTGAGTGGTCAATCCAAAACGAGGGCAGGGATATACACCAATCAAAACAAACACTTAAACCAGTGGCGCTGATCGGTACGTCATGTGACTGACTATATGTAATGAAAACGTTGAAATAACTGAGAACTGATTTTTTACGTCTTACAATTCATGCATTTTATCAGAATTATAGTAAGGTATTTTCTACGTGTCCACGACTGAAAGTCAGTTTGTATAATACGCCGTACTATATTTGCGTTTCCATGTCAGCGACCTAAATTTAATGCACACAGATATACTCTCGTTATATAAAATATATAAATACATACCAATGATATTTTATACAAATAAATAATAATGATATATAGATAAATGGTCATAATATACAGAACATATAAATACTTGGAGAAAATGATCGTATTATACAGAAAATGTACCCATCATACAAAATGGTTTCCTTTCTTATGTCTTTGAAGGGGAACAGAAATTTGACCATGTAATTCTCACTGCGACTACTTTTGTCAGTAGTAGTGAAGGATATGGTATCATCGGTTTCATATTGGGTTACCAAAGCAACCGGAGGTACTACCTGTTAACCTGGAGACATAACTATTTCAACATAAAAGACCGCGGAAACGTAAAAGGCGTTCAAATATGGGTATGTGATGTAGGCCAAATTATATCTCAAAGTATAATAAAAATGGAATTATTTTCGAATTTTCTAACATAAGCATTGGTTAAGACACGATATATATATATATATCAGCTGTAAAATAAAAACAAACCCGATACATTATGGTACATTGTAAGCGCAGAACCCGATATGATATCCTTTCGGGTTGTAAATAGCTGTTGTGTTAAATTATTTTGATTGTTATTTTAAAAGTGTCGCGTATTCGCGGAAGTTTGAGGTTCATTTTAGTACGTTTACAGTATATGCGTTTATGCAGGCGTTTGTAATAATCAGGTAATAATTAGCAAACACTAATTAAAAATGATACATTCTCACTGAATAAACACTCTTTTCTCTCTGTACTACAAGCTAGTAGACTCGGGGACTGCTCCCACTACTTCGTATGCGTATGCGTTATATCACGGTTGTGACACTGATGGGATTACAACGCTGCTGTGGCAAGATCCAAATCTGATTGGCTGGGAGTCACACCAGGGATACAGTTGGACAATAGAGCATAGTCCGTCTGTTGGACTCCTTAGGTACACAGCATGTAATTAACGTCAGTTAGCAAGAGTCGATCGAGGGAGTATTAAAATATAAAACATCGCGAGTAAATCATTTGAAACACTATCCTGGTAAGAAATTCGCTGATATTAATTGATTTATTATAGTATATTGTTTTGTATATAAATATGTTTTTATAAAATGGTAAGTACGTCCTCCTATGATATAATTAATATAGTGTTACCACAAACGTATTTATTATTGTCCGATTTTATAACGTACAATTCAAAAGGTCGTATTATGATAATAAACTGAAATGCTGTTTACATTTCAATATTGTCATTTAGCATGCTTATCCTAAGGTACATGCATTACTTGTGCAATTGCCGTCGAAAACAAAAGCATTTCCTGTTGTTATGCTTCTCAGTTATACTCGTTCCAGTTCAGTACATTTTTGTATGTCACAAATTTGACAAGCCCTGTCTGTTGACGACCTCACACTGATTAATGTTCTTGTTTTAACCGTTAAATATCATTACTTAGAGTTCGAGTTGAACAAGGAGCCAATACCATCGTGGACTCCGGTAACGTGTTTGACGTGTCAATACACGGCGGACGACTAGGGGTGTTCTCTTACAACCAGACAAGGTCCCTTTGGTCTAACCTCCAGTACCGCTGTACCGAAAGGTAATAATTAAAATCATATAATAATAATGTTCAAGCTTAAGGGATTTCGCAAATTAAATATGACTATGAGCGTAGTAACATGAAAATCTCAATTAATAATATAAAATATCGGAAATAGGCTTATGTTTTGGTGTTTTTTTTTAGAAACGAATGCCTTCTTTTGTATTCATTTTAAACGGTGTACGCCATAGTCGTCATAGCTGCGTTATTGATTAAAATATTTAATGATTTTATTTGCTTTTGCGATAAAAAAAATGAAGTTAGGCTGTGCAAAAAAATGCATAATTACAGATATTGTCATTCCGCCATTGATTGTTAATTGACTGCAGGGAATACAAGGCATACAAAGGCATGATTTCAAGGCCGGCTAATTGTCAAATATGACTCACTTTCGAGATATGTTTGATTGCAAAGGATCCAAAACGTATTTATAAAGCCGGTCTATTTTCAAAATATGCTCATTAACGACATTTAAGGGTATTACAGGAATTTAATATTTTGCGAAGAAAGTCCAATAATTTCGTAGTTATAGATGTATCAATAATTGTAAATATGGTTATTTAGAGGAAACAGTCATATTTGAATTTGTAGAATATTTACAGTGTGAGCATAATGAAGATTGGATTGAAACAAACTAAGATATTTGATATGGAGGATTGACGTTGTGTTAACATCTTCAAAGATGTTTTTTTTAAATCCTCAAATTGCTGTTCTTTTTTTATGAAAAGTAGTTGTTAAATAAGAGGAGTCGTTAACGTTTTCATTATCCACGCTTGTCACCAGACGTTGAGTTAAATTATCTAATAGATAAAAGGGGGAAGTTACAGCGACTTCTTGTGCTTTTACTATAGAAAACATTGTCAGAAATACACTATTCAGGAAACAGAATGGCTGTGTGATGAATCACAAAACAATACTCCCATTTATATAAATAGACGTGCTTTAATTTCAAAGATACATGCATTCGTCTTTTACAGATTAAATAAGGCATTGCAGTTTAATGGAAGTACATATGGCGAAATAGGGACACTTTCTTCATTATCCATTGATAGCAGGTAATATTATGTTGTATTTATCACTAGCCGACTGCAAGAAAAGCAACCATAATGCGAAGCTTTGATTTATGTTGCCATAATCCAAACTTACATCTTAGAAAGTCATACAAATGTAATCTGTTAGAAAAACACACAGCGAAAGTCATATTTTATGGTAGGCACGAATTTAATTTCTTTACGGAAAAGTGAATATTAACATTTTACTTTCATCATATAGCAATAACCGATTTGTATATACTCATTTTATTTTAGATACTTGACAAAATCTATATACTTGGACATCGGTGCGTGCTTACATGTAATATGTTAAATGAGTCGCTGTTATCCAAAATGGCCTATTACGAAATCGCTGTAGAGTTTGGTTTAGACACGTCTAGCTATCCCCTGGGAGTGTATAGTAATTAAGTAGTTGTATTTTTCCAGTTTCGCACTTGAGGCTTGGATCCACTTGTCCGCTGGTAGCCTCACCACCAAGCAACCGATCATGTGCACCAAGTCCGATGACGTATGTCTTTATATTGAAAGCAATAATTTCCAGGTGAAAGTTGGAGCTAGTGTCATCGAAGGAACCAGAGTCATAATGGCGGATACGTGGACACACATTTTAACAGTGTACCATGCGCAATGTATGTAGTTTTATTGCATCAATACTCTTTAGTTGTTCATAGGTCAATTTCGCAAAAGGGTCTTTTTGTATTTTTGTTTTCATAGAGGCATATAGCTCGACAAATTTTACGTAAACATCTTGCATCTGTTGCAAACAGAAATTGACATCTTTTATTCAACATTCGTATTTCAGATAACAGAGTGACTTTGTTTGTTGACGGCACAAACGGTCTTTCTACGCAAGATAAGAGAGAATACGGAATACCGGCGCTAACATGGGTACGTGTATTTCAAGGTTGTACAATTAAAGCATCTATCAAATATATTTGTAAGAAGGCAAGTGGCCACAACGTGAGCACAGTTTATTGAAGTCTATTGAAGTCGACACAACAGATAACGAGTACCCAATACGATTTTCATACTTGACTATTTCATGGTTTAATTTGTTCTTTGATCGTTTGTGACCAACGTAATTTCGCTTTCAATTGACTTGAGATTTCTGGTATAAAACTGTAGGAAAAGCTTGTTTTGGTGATAACCTCCTGCAGGTCAAATATATAGGTTTCCACATTGTTACATTTTGAAGTCTTTTTTTATTTTCGTTTTTTTCTAAAAATGATAATCTTTGAAATGTAACAAGGGTTCGAATAAGTGGGTACATTCATTAGTGCGATGGCCGATAATTGCCTGTCCAAATATTGTTTAAGACAGGAGTCACAAAAACGATTTTACTTACAATATAGATCATACTCGGAGAAACACGACATGTATAATACTCTTTTATAAAAATATTCACAGGACCATTAAATGTAACAATGCGATGTCCAGAAAACTCGAGCAGTCGTCGCCATTGTTTAAAAAATCAACACAGGATTCAATATCTTTTTACTGTCGATGTACATGTACAATATGTGCTTATTTTCTAGAATACTAGTGACGTGATGTATATGGGGAGAGACAACAACGACAGCTATTTTACTGGCATGATTGATGAGGTAAGCGTATCCACATATTGTCTCAATGTTGTATATATGCGAATGATTAACTGTATATTTTAAATCAAATTTGTTGCAAAAGACCAAATCAATCAATTGTCATTAGCATAGATTTAATCAATATAGTTTTTCTAAAACCCTTTTCGAAAGCATACCCTATTTTGTCAAAATAATCGGCGATTAAGCTTTGAAAATGAATACTTTTTTCATACGTTATGTCAGCTAACTTACCTACGAATGTTTAGAGTTTTGAGGACATAACCATACTTAGTTTTGACCTAGATTTGGTGGTGACAATTAATTGCTTGCCTTTCCCGGAACATCTGGTACTGCGTGTACTTTTCAGTGTTCTTAGCGTAAACATTTTCATCCTAAGTTACTCTAATATTTTATATTCACATTTGTGTTCTCTTTTATTTCTAATTTAACAGGTTAAAATTTACAATGCTGCAATCTCTGACGCCGATATAAACACTTACTGGCGGAAGTTTGACATGACAAGAGAGTACAGGAAGTGTACATTGTCGGCACACTACAACATGGACAACCAGACCCAATGTCAGTATCATATTTTAATCGGTATTACATAATTAAGAATGTACTCTTCTGAAATTTAAATCACGTTCAAGTCTCGTTTTGATATCTTGTAACAGGTTTTTGTAATATTTAAAAAAAGTTACGATCAATTTTATAGCAAACACAAAACTGAAAAATATGTCAAAAAATTCGATGTCTGCTGTTTGAAGAACCTGTTTACAAGAATTTAAAAAAAAAACAATTTTTATTTTTATTCATTGAATATTAAAAAACAGTGTAATAGCAGAACATGTTATATCAAGGGTTACATTTCCAAAAATTGGTGAAAATTAGTATTTTTTTCATTCAAGTTTAAGGGGTTGGTGTAACTAAAATAACTTTTTTGAACTTTTACTGCCATAATTTAAAAGAAAATATTATTTTTAGCAATTTTGCAAACATTCAATTACATTTGTATATCTGATTAAACACTTGGCAGATAATTTATTAATTCGTTCTGCAAATGGTCAAAACCAAACAAATCACCTAAAATCACATATTATGTTAAATTGATCTAGGTACAAAAACAAACACACGAATATATATATACATAAATAATATATATATATTGATAATATATATATATTATTGATAATATATATATATTATTGATAATATATATATATTGATAAATAAACATCAATCCGCCTGAAGAAGCCCTAGCAGGCAGAAAGGCCTAGCGGACGATCTGAAAAAAATGTTTTTATTCTATATATATATTTATATTGCATTTTCTACCATGCCATCAACTCCTTTTTCACCAAATGCAAAATTGTTTAAACGTTTAAAACCAATGCTACAAACAAGTTAGTATACCAAAACAATGATGTTTGTATGTTTATGACAAAATAATACTATCCCATAGAAGATGTTTTGTTCGAACGCGTTCACATCATATATCTTTTTTTTTTTACATTTCAGTGGCCCTACTTGTGGATCAAGGAACACGTAATCTTGATGTTCGCTTGTATGGGTTTCCAACTTTTGTCGAGGTGAGCATGTTCAGTAATTAAAAGAAAGCCATCGTTATTTTCTACTAGACTTACCGGCAAAGGATTTAACTAAAATTTTGTTCTACCGACAATTCATCACACAGAGAACAATAAAGATGTTATAACTGGTGATTCATAAATTTGTATGGAACAATCTTATAACAATCTGCATCTTAAGAACAGATATACATATATTTATCTTATTAAACTACGACATTGCACATATGCGTACAATAGAAACAAGTTCTTGTTAAAAAAACCTTGAACGACATTTAATGGACAAATATTTAAATATGTTCTATTACTTTCTGAAAATTATTATTTTCAAAAGTTGATTGTCTTTTTTTTAAATTTGCGTTCCTTTAATGCTTGTTGTCTTCTTTGTACAGACTGTTGTTCTGGAATTTGTCAATGTGTGTCTGCTCATTTATACAGAACATATTGCATTACAGGTTACTCTCATTGGTGAATTATGTAAAGTAATCAAGTGGAATTGACAGTATGTGGTTAAGGTTTTTGATTTCCATGAGCCAATTTCGTATTCTGTGAAAATATAGGTAGAAGAGCTACCAAGATGTTCATTTTTTTGGTCTGTCAATAAGCAGGCGGCCAGTTAGTGTAATGAAATGCAGCAGCAGAAAATGAATAACAGTAAAGACATACATCTAGATTGGAGTCTGCTTCACGAGCCTGCAATATGGAGGCTCTTTGGTCGTAACAGTCGACATGTAAGACTTACTGGAACTGTCATCTTCCTTCATAGTGTATCTCAGTATTTAAGTATCACTTTAATTGTAATCTTGCTTACGGCGATTGTTTTTAGATATTCCAACGCCATTTCCAATAAAGGATAATGAACGCTTCATTGTCAAATCAAGAATAGGCTTGGTTCCATATGCACATTCAGTTTAATTTCAAATGGCATCTCTCACGTTTAATCTCTCGACAATGACCTTGGTCCCCCTTCCTTTCAAAATCTCTGTATCTGCCGGTACAAGGAATCAGATATTGTGTCGGTGTGTATCTTCATGACGGGATACAAGCAAGAACAATATGTAGAAAAGACAATCAAATACCATACACCCTAGTTTGGTGGTGTTGACTTTTGTGACGTTCATGTTTTCATTTTGCAGAGCACGACAGACTACCATCGTTTTTACGACTCGATCACCTAAATATCAGATATGATGCAGAACCCAAGAACAACTTCAATGACGACTGATCAATGTCACCTGGTGTGTCAGTCTTTTGTTACAGTTCCTGACAGTGCTCGCAAGCAGGTGTATACTACTTTACTAATTCCTGTGTAGCATTATAGCTAAACTATCTTTATGATATATTATTAAACTGTTATTACTTGTTGGTTATGCATGTCTATGATTACTGAACACATTATTTCTCAACTCAAAGTGAAATGCAGCAAGGGTACCATCTAAGATATAGCAGGAAATGGTACGTCCCTAATACATACAAAGGAGTCTACAAAATACTGAAGGAATTGGAAGATCTTTGTAATTCAAACTTAAAAGCTGCAAAAACGTCGTCTAAGGCAATACAGAACTAACGTCAAGGCATGCATACAATGTAGTATCAACTTCTCATACAGTCTTCCTTTACCAGCGATTCGTTATGCATAAACAATATATTTATGCGAGTATTGTAAGCATAAATCATAATATATTGATGTTCTGATGTAGTTCAATTGATTTCCTATTAAATATTATTCAATTGTAACTTGTGCCATTTCTAAATGTGTGTATATATCTATTCATAAGATTGTTGAATAGTATTTATTATCATTAATAAACAAAAATAATTCTATATTGTACTTTAAATGTTTAAATATCACCTTTTGCATTGGGTTATATGTAAAAGGTACACGGATCATTTCGCTTTTTAAAAGTTGCCCACAATTTTCCCCTAGCTGAAATATGACAAATGAAAATGATTATCCTGGCTTCTATTTTTCATAATTTTGCTTCAATCAAGTTTATTGAAATATTTTAATACGTAGTATAAACAATAGTATTAAATTCATTACAGCAAATCGTTTACATTTGCGTTTTTATAAATTGTTTATTTGTCCATTGATCTTGCGAAATTTAAGTACTTTCAAGTATAGGTGCACAAATATGAAGTTATTTCTTTTGAAGTATATTCAGTAACAAGACCGTTTTTAAACTAGTCAATAAAATATAATATCATACGAGTTCTTTGGACTTTTTAAAGGAACTCGTATGTATCATTCAATATCCATAAATGTTAGCCGAATTCCTAAATGTTCACGCTATGCTACATATATTTACTTCAAAGAATGGAGGATTTCGACGAATTTCTTCCTTTCACAATTAGCAACGAAATAAAATGCACAGCTATTATTGAGGTATGGTCTTAAAAAGGAAACTTTGACGGACAGCTATTGGCAATGTATAACCTTAATAGGCCTTCGTGGTATATGTTCAGCATAATAACTGGTACAATGCACATAACTCGCTTGGAAGTTTCAGCCACACCAAGTAACCTGAATAGGACATTGTTCTCTAAACCAAAAAGAAAAAGAAGAAAAAAAGCAAGAAAAGCTTCAAAATATGTATTATCTCATTAACTTTTATTCATTTTAAATTATTTTACCTGTAAAAAAAAACAAATAATAAAGAATGTCATAATTGTTTATCTTAATTGTGTTTTATATCTTCCCGATTTAACAGAAAACAATTCAGGCTATAATATGTGCTAAGTCAAGTATGAAATATAAAACGATCTGACAAATACAGTCAACTTATGAAGAGCTATATATGAATCTTAAAACAAACAGTTGCATATATTTAACCTTAATTTCTACATATTGGCTTCAATGATAGCAAAGAACCGACTGACTTCAGTCTAAGGGTCATACAATGAGTTCAACAAACGCATATATTGCTTTACAGCCAAGCCCGCAAAAACGAGCGTTTGGAAAAAAATGAAATTTAACATCAGAGTTTGACGTTATACACAAACAATGTACGTATTAAACGGGTTGCACCATTTAAAAACAGACTCAAACATCAGAACTTCTGACAGCAATTCAACAAATAACAATAACAATACATAGCAAGAGACCAGAATAACCTACTGACATCTAGTTACTGATTTCTAGTGACTCAATCCTTGGGGTTGAGCTTTGAGTGTAGTGTAATTTCAAATCATTATTGAATTAATACCAAAAGTAAATTTGAAAATATAGCCCTCCAATCAATTTCCAAACTGTTTAATCTTAATATGAACACATTTAAATGAAGCTAAAGCAAATATTTCTTTGAGAATTTATATTTCTTCTTAGAAAGATAAACAAATAATTTGTTATTGCTATTTTAATATAATGAATATACAATGGCCAACTCATGACCTTAATCACTTCCTTTTTGTAAAGTATTAAATATGCACAAGTAAAAGTATATTAAATGTTGATATTATCCATATCTGTTTTAGAAAAATGATATCTTGCTCATATATGTTACACTACTGCTATCTCAGATCTTGTTCTTGTTTGCCTGTTAATTAAATGTATCATAATCTTTTAATTGTATATAATAATAATTTTAGGTTCTTATGTCCTAGGTCATCTCAAAGCGGTTCACATATTATTATCCGTAGTTATAAGGCCTTTGCAACCAGCCAATATTTTTCTCAACTCCCTGGGGACCATACAGCCGGTGCTGCCTTTTTCGAGCTCACAGTGCTAGCATTCAACAATGCCAGCACTGCCCAATTCAACCACATACTCATTTACAGCTGAGTAGACTGGAACAAGCCGAGTAAAGTATCTTGTTCAAGGACACATCACAGTGCCATGGCGTGACTCGTACATGCAACCTTTCGGTTACAAGCCTGGCATCATACCACTAGACAACAGTGCCTCATATAACAGTCGGTGTCTGTATATGGTCCACGATTACATTCACATCTTATTCTATTCCATGTAGAAATATACAAAGGGCAGAACTCTCACAACATGTATTAAGATGTGATATAGATCAATCCAGTGATTCTGGTCCTCCTATTATGCTGTCTAGTATATAAACATCATATAGTTATTTTGTACAAGGATATCAACGCTATTACATAAAACTTTATCAACGTCAACAAAAAGGGACAGTAATTCCATATCTATGACACAAGTCAAAATAACAAAATATTTAACCCTTTCACCCCTATGTAACTTTAGTAGACTCTACCATGCATTGATTTGGATGAGTCCATTGTGGTCTACAGTGGTGAAAGGGTTAAAGTATTGTATGCGTTGAAAATCTGTACAAGTTGGAATACCATTTTACTATTCATTTATATTATATATTCTGCAATGTAAATTGTATTTATATACCAGGTATAACACATGTTATACCTAGAATGCTAAAGACATCATACATTTAACATGTAGCATTGTCAATTTGTGTCCTGATATAATTATCAAAATCACTTTATAATCCATAGATGTTTTATATTAAAGCATATATACAAATTAGTACATGTTATAATCAAACAGCTTTTATTCTTTTCAACAAAGAGTTTTGGGAGAACTTAGGAGCACATGTAACCATATACTCCAGATCTAAATAATATACATCTGTGCACAGGAGATTACAAGTGGATTTATAAGTTTTGTAACAATAAGTCTTTTATAAAGTCAACATCACATTGGCGGAGCACTGAGATACAATATATACACTTATGCAAGCTGAACACTTATAGTTTTCGTCAACACAATGTTTTAAAAGGTCTATAATTCTTTCACATCAAAATTTCTACTGAGAGTTCCAATTACCACACCTAGGTTATAACACGACTTCAAAAATGCAATGCCCCGATTGATTTTACAGGAAAATATCAAAACAGATCGCAGATTATCAGCAAGAAAAGTTAGTGTATTTGAAAATGTATCATATGTTCTGGAAAAAATATGGATATTTTATATCATGATAATTTCATCATGATAGGAAATTAATTAAGTAAATAAATGGCAACTCCAATAAAATATTGACACAATAGAATTACCGGCAGGTAAACTATTAAGTATTTAAAAATAGTGAGACAATTCATCAAATCATATTCTAGTTTCTATGAAAGGAAAATGTACAAAATGTCATATACGAAATATTTTCTAAATAACAAGATAAAAAATATAACTTTAAGAAAAATATTTATGTCATGACTAACATATATTCACGTTAACAAAATGGAATAGAATATATTCATGAGATCAGTGTTACAGTATATACAAGTAATAAAAAGCTGCCTTCTCTGACCTAGAGAATGACTGGTTGATTGTGATGATTAAATGTTATCTGTGAAAACTTCAATGGCCATGGGCGAAAATACAGTGACATGTACAAAACTTATGTCACAATTACAGTGACATAAAACAAAGTTCATCAAAACAATAGAGCAACAATTAATTAGAGATATAATGGCGAAAGGAACACTATAAGGATTATGAATGCAAATCAGGTCAACTACAAAAGGAAGCTAGAGCATGGGGGCTAATTAAATCAGATACAGTATTTCCTTTACATTAGAGAAAACAAAATTATCCAGAAAACATGTTTGACAGTATCACAGGATATACATTTCATTATGCTATTTGGTCAAAATGTAGGACCATAAAAATTGTGGACTATATCAATTTTCATTAAAAGTTTTTTTTTTAGTTTAACACAGTGCTTCAAACAGCAAGAAATTATGATTAATCTGGTCCAGCCATTAATCATATAGTAGAGTAAAGTATAGTAATTCTTCTTTGAAAGAGATGTCATTTGATGTAAATGTTAATGATTGACGGCAAGATGACAGAATGATGATGGACTAAGCACCAAGACAGACAATAACAGTGGTTTTACATGTACTTATCAGGTGACCTAAGTAAGAACACTTTTAAGTCAACAATTTCAAAATGCCATAGGTATTAATGAAGTAAAAAAAAAAGTAATCAAGTTTCTTAATATAGGTGTCATGGAATCGAAGGAAAATCAAGAAATCAAGTTTTCTAGATTGTCCGAGTCTGAATCAACTACCTGGTAGGTTCAATCGTGTTGAAAATGTCAACACAAAGTCGTTCGTTGTTTTTTAATCTGAATGTTTGCCATTATTTTTAAGAGAGGTTTGTTTTTGTTTAGTCCGAGTGTTTTCTCTTTCGCCCATATGCCCGTACCCATTCTCTAATGGTTTTACCATCAGGCATGTGCCACTTGGCAAAGCAGTTTCTGTCTTTGTAAATACACAGTGGTACACAGCAGTGTCTACAGATGAAGCTTGTCTTTGTACTTGGACAGCCGTTGCCTTCAAGTCTTGCTTGGGCATTACAGACGGCACAGTCACGGCGGGTCACCACCATTTCTGGCATACATTCCCGACAGGGAGACAAGTCCACACCACGCCTCTTCTGTACCAGGAGGGACTTGACGAGTGCCTTCCTAAACTCTAACTCGTTACATGGAGTTGCAAATTCTGCTGGGAATCTGTCCACATACTCAGTGTATATGATATAGGAATTCATCACCATCATGTCAATACAGTGTATGAACACACATTTCCACCAGTGGAGTGTCTCCTCTCCAACCTTGAATGGGTAATTATGCATGTTGCTGATGCTGCGACTGAATCCGTCGGAGCCTTGTTTGAAATCTACTACCAGTTTAGGTACGTGTGTTTTGGAGTCAACTGCTGACCCCATGTGTAGTGTGGATAGATAGGATTTGGTGCTTATGTCCTTATGTTGTACAACCACATAGTAGCTGTCTGTCTCCCGCTGCCATCGGAAGTCTCCCTTCTTCGCTGCCTCATCCCATTCCTGCCAATCCCGTAGAGAACTCGGCACTACCGGGCTTCCAGCCTTCAAACTACTGGTTGTGAAGATGGAGCTGCTAAATAGATCCCGCAGTAAGGTCTTCGACATGAAAAAGCCATCCAAAAATAACTGGTAGCCTTGATTCTGGAAATCAACTGTAAGGGTGTTCACCAACGAATATGGAATACCTTCCAGATGACTGGCCAATTTATAATCGGCTTTATTAACATATAGTAAGAGTTCATAGGTATATCCTGTGACTGCACAGACGAGAGAGAAAAGCTTACAGCCGTATCTCTGTGATTCACTCTCAAAATTACCCAGCTTCTTTTTGGTCTCCATCATACGGTCCTTGATGGCTAGCTCTCGGTATGGGAAGTATAGAGTGTGAGAAACAGTCTTCATGTGTTTCAGCAGTGGTCTGATGTAGCTGATCTTTTCTTCTGTAATGATAATAATGTTGATTTTTAATTCGTATATGCATTTATGTATGAATATTTACAACTACCACTGTTTCTGAATCGATAACCTAAGTGTGGGCAAGTCTGTTTATTTATTAATAACGTGAGTGTAGAACGTGATCCAGTTCACCGCGTATGAATATATGTAAATATGGGCAGACATCTTTCCGCAAACCTCGTGTCAATGTTTACAAATAAACGCTAGCATTTAGACTACCGTGCGTTTGAGTCACCAAAATAAAAACATTAAATTTTATTTTTCTTGTAGTGTTTTTTTTTTTTTTTAATTAAGATGCTTTTGTCAGCTAGTGTCAGAAGCTACAGTCGCGATTGTTCATCAGTACAAAAATGCTCCGTCAGATCCACTCTCTCATCTATGAGTGTCGGCCGCTATGACACAGAAACGATGACTATCGTTCGTAGAAATGCAGGTCAAATTTCTCGTCTCTCAACAGTCACTCGGCCGACAAACGATTTATCCACATCATACATGTCATATGTACAAACTTCTGGTATGCTTACAAACAGCAATTTCAATAACACTTTTAATTTCCACTAGGCCTAAGCTAGTCATTATCACTCGACGACATGGTAGCACTCTAGATCTTTATTTCCCGCCTTCGGGCGCATCACTTTCAAACAATGGACCTACGCGGTCATTAGTATTTTCTACTTAGTATTTTGCCCCCATACATCAATTTCATACAAATATAAGATTAGTTATTCCATTACCTACTAAAACAATTATGAAGATATTGTATTTATTAAAATATGGATATTTTATGTGAATACAAATATTGAAATGGAGGAACTTTTTTCTTTTGTTGTGCCGGAAAAGGTGGGCAGGGTTTAGCTGTCTGTCAACAGCTTTTGTTGATGGCTGTTTCGCATGGATTAACATGACATTAAAATAATTTTAAACGCAGATTAAACAAGGTAAATGCTAGTATCCGACTCTTTTAATGGTGTTATTGTTAAAAGAAAATATTGTTTAATAAAGATTGACCTTTTATTTTGTTTAGTTTATAAGATAATAAATCCAATGGAGCACGAGGTAATTTACCTTGTTTGGTATGTCTCGCCTGTGCCCCGCTTTGACCATCAATGCACATATCAAAGAAACTTACTTAAACACAAACATATTTATGTTGTTGGAGATGTTGACAAAGTCAATGGACCATAAAAGGTAGGCCGCATCCAGCATTTGATGCATGGGTTGAGATGTACTACCTAAGATGCACCTATGGTCCAAGTTTGGTTGGTCTAGCACTTACACTTTCAGTGTGACTAAATTAAAAGTAAAAACTTAATGTTGACACCGCTGCCGGAAAAGCAACATGTTAGTCTCATTTCGGCTACTTCGTGGCGGTGAGACAATAAACTGAAATTCAGTTTTTAATAGATTAACCCCCCCCCCATGGACCGGCCCTAAGGAAGTGATGTCGTCAGACACTATATCCTCAGAGTACGCATTAAGCTATAAAAGCAACAAGCCACAACATTTAAGAAGCATTATCCTGTATTGTGACATAAATGTTCTAAAATGTGCTGTCCTTAGATTGTCTGATCTCTTTCATGAACCTATTATTCAATGACAGATCTTGGAATATTAGAATATGTATTTTATGGACATGAACAGTGAGCCTGCTTCATCAAGCCTCTCACTTTATGTCTAGTCAGCATTAAAGGACACAATTTTTATTTCAAAATGTTCCAATAATCTGTCTGTTTTGCTATTTATAAAAAGCAACTTTAACGGGAACAACCATGTCTGCATCAATTCTGCTTAATTATACTGCACAGCAAAGAAAGCCGCTGACACCACCAAAATTAATCTAAATACTAAGGATTATAAATAATGATAAATACCTTTTTTTATATTTTCTGGTGGAACAACATGGAGAAATGCAAGCAGGGCCATGAAGCGATGTTTGGTCATGCTCTCCCTGACAAGGTCACTTGTTGGTCCGAACACAGGGTCATCTATTTCAGACCAGTAACAGTCCAGGTTGGGTAGTTTGTTCAGTGACATGTACATGAGGATACCAATGAATCTGTAAAATCAATCAAAATGGTGTTCATAACTGATACTACTTGAACAATTGAAAACGAGTTCCTGGATTGCATTTTGTATTTTTATTTTTTCATGGATACAATAATGACAAATAGTTTATATCTTAAGTTTGGTCATCCTAATCTTTACTCCAGGGTTTAAGCTCACTTTCGCTCTCTGCACCCCTGGAATGTGTCAGCGCAATATTGAAGGCACAGTGTGCGACACCTTGTTGATGAGACAATAGGGCGAGTTTGATCCTTTGATGTACATTAAAAGAATCTCACGGTTGTGTAACGGTAAAAAATGACTGGCTTTGAAGTCGGGTGTTACCCCTCTATAATCCTCAAAGGACAGGTATCAGCCTAGCGATTGGTCAGTTTTTCTTTTACCCGAGACCAATTAAACAGCTATCTTTATGCCTTCAATTTTGCTATGACATATTCCAGGGATGCAGAGAGCGAAAGTGAGCATAATCCCGGAGTATCAAGGATGTAGGTTAGTTTGCATTTTACGTTACATAAACACCTATGGTCAGGTTTTGGTGGTGGATAAAACTGGAGTACTTAGAGACCAACAGAGCTTTGGCCAGTAACTGTTGACTGCCCCCACGTAGGTCTCAAATCCACAACCCAGTGGTGGAGAGCTAGTGATCATAGTCGGTCAGACTCTTTACCATTCTGCCACCACGACCCAATGTTTAAATCTTAAAATCTCTCAATAAACTTAAGTCATCTATGCTATATGATTCATTGTTTATAAATGGATATGTAACATGTTCTGATTGACTAAATAATAATATGCAATTAACCATGCTTTGCTTGAGTAAATGATAAATTTATTTCAAACACATTTCTGATTTATCTGATTTTTATGAAACACTCTTAATCTCATTTCATTAAAACATTTTTTATAAGGGGAAATAATTTGTGATCCTCCATGTCCTGGGATATTGAATGATAGGTAATTAATATACATATAAAATACTTGATACTCAAAAACTGAATTTGAATTAATTTGAGAATATGACTTAACATATCATTACAGTAACTAAGCTCCGAACATCAATTCTGATCATTTGTAATTTACATACACCATACATAGCATTAACATTCATGCCGACAGCACCAGTAAACCTACTTGTACATCTCCATGGTAGTGACCTTCGACCAGACATCTTTCTGCTGGACCTGTGTGGCATAACACTGGAACTGACCCATCTCAATGACCATCTCGGCGTAGGCATTGGTGGCATTACAGATGGAGGCCACCAGGTCAAACGACAGGAAAAAGGAGAAGAAATGGATTGGAGTCTTGGCTGTCTGTCGAACAAATCTGTTTCAAAGAAAGAACTAATACAGTTGAGCTTTTTTTATCCTGCTACCAGTTATTTCTCTTTCCCCACCATATGTATCTGTCCATTGTTTCTGGGAACTTATTTTCCTTTTTAGCTATTTAAAATATTTTCCCAGTTATCAAACTGTTGCCTTTTTAAGTTTATAGTAGAGAACTGTTTTTTTTTATTTATTTATAAATCTTCATTTCTCAAAGTCCCATAAAAACATCTGCAAAAATGGCAACCTCTTTACAATCCCAAAGTTCATCAGGAGAATTATACTGGCAGGACTGGTGAAAACATAATACACTTTGCCTGATTTCATTTGTGACCACAGATTATAGTCTATTTTATCTTTTTTCTCCTATCTTTTTCTGCTGGAAAAACATGTACAATAATTATGAATTGCCAATTTTCTATGAGAAAACATCTGCTGAACAAAGGGTGGCGGCGTGACATTTCATTTCATTGGACCAGTACATGATTAAGTTCACACAGAAACACTCAGAAACAATCATAGAAATATCTAACAATATAGATCCAGATTCCTATCTAATAAATTATTTTTGTTTAAATCTTAAGTGAAGGTTATAGCCAGAACAAAAAGAGAATTTCTTATAAGCTAGAAAAACAAGCTAATAACTGTACTTGTCATTCAGTGTTTCATTTCAACCTTGTCGTTTTGCTTTCCATTATATCATTTGGAAATTCAGATATAACAACATATTAAATTAAAGGAAAACATCAATAGTTTTTAATAACATTAGGAAATAATATTTTGTTTTATCATATCATACACACCAACAATATTACATATAAATATGTTATCAAAATATCTGGTACATGTTTATTTACAGGTATAAATCTCATAAATTCTGTCTATAAAATACATGTACCTGCATACATAGTACAGGGGCATGACACAAATCCCCAACCTATGGTTTGTAGGTACATACATGCAGACTTTGCCAGGTAACATTTACGACAATAAGATAATGCACAAACAAAGTCAGGTACAAAGACATTAGCTTCAATATCCTTTAATCAGCAGACAACAAGCTAAGACCAATTCAAAAACTAGGTTGGAGAAATAAAAAAAATCACAAGAATTAATAGGCTAATGTATATTGTTTGGTTTGTTGATCGGTTGAAATAGATTCAAGAAATTATATATATCTTTAAGTCTGTTACATAATTATACATTACATGTATATATATAAGGGTACTATGCTATCTTCATACATGGGGCTATGCTGAAAGTAATAGTAATTCAAGGGAAATAACCCTCGAAACAAAACTAATCTTTGTTAAAGACAGAAATTACCGTGTGAGCATTCGCATCTGTATTCCAGGTGGTGTGTTGGGCTCAAAAGGGAGTGAGCCGAGCTCCTTGGCCCCTTTGTCTGTAACCTTATCGTCCTGCCATGACAGTCCCATCTCCTCCTCTCCGTCACTGGAACCCTCCGACACATCGTCACTACAAAAGACATAACTTATCATTATCAAAGTGTTTTACAAAGTAAATAAATGTTGATCTGTGGTTCCTGTAACAGTGAACATGTTATCACATTTGCAACTACCCGCCAATAATGACCACCATACCTTATATTAATCTTGTCCACATTACCTGTGTTGTTCAGCAGTATAAAATACAATCATATGCCAGCCAATTAATTTACAATAGACACATCAAGTGTAGTGTTCGCTTTTTAAAGTCTTACACAGAATTTTTTTTATCATGCAAAAAGGTCCTGAAACAATTGCTGATAAGGTTCGTATTGATCTGCTTAAAGAGCAATAAGCAATAACCCTTTCACAATAAGCAATTAACCAGTAGAATTCGATCAAACTTTCCCATAATGATTATGTACCTATGTAGAGGTGTTTTTATGAAAATCTAAGCATTCTGATAGACTGGGGATTTTGGGGACATTGGAACAGTTTCCAATGGGAAAACATTTACATGTAATACGTAGGTTTTACTATGAGTGATACAACAATATTCATAGGAATATACTGTAGTGATAAATAAATCTGAACCCTATCTATTTTAAATACAGTCTATACATTGGTGATACCCACCAGTCATTGTTGTGTGCTAGGAAGTCATGTTCCCCTTCCCACAAGTCTCCATGGGGCTGACCACTGTCTAATAACATGTTGTCCAAGTAGTCTTCCTCAATAGGTGCCATTCCGCCATCACCGGGGTCAAATGGCTGGCGGAACTGATCAAAGTTGACTTTACCACGGCGCGCAGTCACTTCCTGATCTACATCAATATAAAATATATAATATGACATTGTATTTTATTAATTACATTCAGAATTGTACAAAAATGCAGGCTCAATTCAAGCATTTGATGTGGATTCATTCATTTATTTATTTTTGAATATTTTGATTACATTAAAATTATTTTTTTCCTGTTTGCTTGAACTTTTTCATTAAAATCAATTTTGTGTCCTAGCAGTTAAAAAAAACAGTGGCATAAATTGTTTATCAATCATGACCAAGAAAAGGGAATTCCATTTTCCCTGAACTGTTAAAGGTATGGTCATCTTTTTTAACCCCAGTCATTTCAATTTCATTTCAGATTGGAATTCTATTAATATTGCCGACATAATTCTAACCCTATCAATTTGGTTTCATTTGTGATTATATAAATGAACATCTTATTAACTTCACAATTCTTTCAGCGCTCAATAAGTTCATAAACCATTTAAAAACACCAGAAAATCCTTTTTTAAGTGAAAAATTCCTTTATATAATGTTAAAAGTTCAATTTCTAAAAAAATGACTTTTGTATCTAAATGTATATATATATATATAATCAGTCATTAAGTGAAAACAGTTGTGACATATTTTATTTTGCATCTATTTGTTACATAAAATTGAAACATAATCAAACCAACGAAGTTAACCATCAATAGGTGGTGTGGTACGTTTTTAAAACGGTTTGAAGCGAAACGGCGAAAAATGTAAAACATTACCCCTGATGGACCCCATGGTATTTTTCGTTACGAGTTATCTCCCTTCGTCCACACTGTCTAGACAATGTTGATATTTAAATGCTCCAAATTCTTAATGTGTGTCGCGCGTTGGACACGTGCATGTTAAGTGCAAGGAAACAAATATTGTTATAAAGATGCCATTATGCCAGCATCCTTAGTTTGCATTCTGTGTAGGCTACAACATGAGCACGACAATTGAAGCAGGGAGACATCATTGTTGTAATTGCTCGGCATATGTGATCACAAAATTTTATGAAAATACGTATTAGATGAAATCCTCCCAGCGTATATCACACCTACTGCTCAACGTTCATAAGATCCAATATATATAAGCAATTGTAACAGACTAATTAGTCTGAAATAGTCCAAAACTGTTATCGGTACCGTTAGGGATATCAGGAAGATAACGCATGCTCCCCAATAATGGAACGAAATCTACCTGGTCGATAAACAAAGGATGTAAAAAACTTACCGCCAAATATTTCAGTACTGAGACTAATCAAATGGATATTATAAAGTGTATATTTCAAGCATGAATTCCTAAAAAGCGATAAAATAACAAACTTTAGGTATTTACCCTGCAAACTCATGTGGTCCTCTAAGGTATTCAGTTTAATCGCGGCCATGGTTGTGTCTAAACCACAGACTCGGAAGCGGACAGATCATACGGACCAGAGTGTAAAAGACGGATTTTTGAAAAGAGAAAATGATTATACTGATATGGAGACTTTTATGCCAACACGGATTGCTTACAAAAAAATCGTTAAATTTGTACGCTGCACATCACAGACATTCTAAAATATCTATATTTAGGTAAATCACCAATAGTTGGAGATAAAACTGATTTTGACTACGTACGACATGCTATTTAATAAGAGTACTGGGTAAAATTATAGTGTAAGAAATGAAATTTAACTTTTATTCCGCGTAGATGTATTTTGATTCCAGCTAACTTCTATTTGTCATTATACACAGCTTCTTAAAATCAGTTTACTGTGAAATCTAACGTGGTGCTGCTTTATCACTTCACCCCATTAATATTGTGGTACTGTATTGTATGTGGATGAAATAGTGCCTGATTTAGGCATTTCATTGTATTGATATGCTTCTGTTATAAAAAACGTCCTTTTTCCATTACTGCAGCAAAATTTCAGAAAGTAGCTTTTACATGTATAACAAAAAAAAAAAAAAAAAAAAAAAAAAAAAAAGATAATCTACAGAGGTCAAACATAGGGCTGGTTTCAATGTTAATCGCGATATTTTTTGTCGTCTGTTATCTGCGGTATTAAGATAACAGACGAAACCCAATGTACAGGTATTCTTATTTAAAATCTCATATCATCACGAGTGTGACAGATTTAGAAAAAGGGTTAGTTTCGTACTGGAAACAAAATCTTTGTCGTGATCATATAATAGGCCGGACCAGCGGCACTAGCATTTAATATATAAGGAGCAGGTCAGTTCTATTCTAGTGCATATTGGTTATCCTGTAACAATACTTAACCACTAAATGTAGTTTTTCGAGATTTTATGAATATGTTAAATTGCTTTTGCCAAGCGTATTTTAAAATTGGCCGAATATACAATTGTAAGTAGAATTTAGATTTTCTTAAACCTCGGATTACTATTTATCTTGAAAATAACAAGTTTTGTGACTTTCGTAATGACGTCAACAAAATGTTAAGGTCATTTTCTACCGTCCATCATATGTGACGCAAGTAATTAAGGCACGGGCTATTCACACGTAATTGATTAACTGCGTGATATCAAAGAGAAACTGAAAGACGTCATCGATACAATAAATGACGTCATAGATACACTAAATAACATCAAATAATGCCATTAAGGTAACATTGACATAATAATGTCAGTGATGCTTTGATTAGTTATGTATGTACTGAAATACATGTTTGTTTTTTGGTTTGATTATAACATAAAAGAGTGAAAAAAAACCAATCCTCAGTTTAACATAAATATAATTATAAGAAACTGATATTGCACCGTTCCCCGTAGAAGAACACCAGTTTCGTATGTTAGTTCCTGGTACTGGGTAATATCACTACGCCAGCCTTGTCAACAAACACATGTGTGTATGTTATTCAAATCAAGTCACACTCCAGTTGCTTCTGACTAAGATTGTGGTAGAAACAGATCACACGACTCGTGGCTGTTGAGTATAGTATTTATTTCACTCTCGTTAGTTAATTCTTAACAGTTACAGGAAGTTACTCGCTAAAGCTCGTGTCTTTTGTAACTTTTGAAAATGCACTAACTCGAGTGAAATGAATACCATATTCAACAACCACTCGTTGTGTAACCTTTATTTTTGTGTTACTTTCAGAAAAAAGCGGTGCTAAAAATCCTAAGTTACACAATTTAGAGTATTACCCCTGTTGTGGTACAAGAAATAAACGATATGCATCTTTGGCGTGTTCAGCCTCTTCTGAAGAGGCGAAAGACTTTACTTATAAGTATTGTCGGAAAGAAACTTAAAGGTGCCTCCAGAAATTGTTTGTGCGCATATCTCCTAACTTTAACACCTTGCAATAGATTTTGACACGTCAAGCTTACGTATTTAATATAAACAAAGAACAAAACACCAACAGCAGTTTTAGCCTCCTTTTAGAAGGGTAACCGATATACTAAATGTACTTGTGGTATACTGTACAGTTGTGTCATTGGAGAGAGTTGTTTTTTCTTTCAGATGTTAAGTGCTCATAACTCAATAACACAATCAAACACCCAGAGGGCTGGTACGATGCATCGCTGCAACAAAGTAAATAAAGAAGCAATCAGCGGAGTGACTGAAAACGACAGATAAGTCAGGTGTGCCAGACAAATACAAAGCAAGGAGCTTCAAATGTGCACTGCTGTGAAGACAACATGGCTTTTGTTGCTTAATGAGATTCCCGTGACAACAGAAGAAGGACCGAAGAGATCCGCCAGAAGGTTCCTATACAGGATTGGAGTGTATCTAACATCGCACTTTACATCCACAAATCAGCGCTGCAACTCCCGCTGTCATCACTGGCGAGGTGTTCAAAGACACAAAAGGTCGGTTTGACGGCAATGCTGAGAGATTTTGTAGGAGATTACACCTGGTACGCAAGAACCCAGACCAGAATAAAAGATATGGATGATCTTCAAGCCACTCTCTACGGCAGGATGAGGGTGCTCTAAGACACCGTGATATCGGCGGAGAAAACTGCACCGGAAGAAAAGAATCGATTATTGACAGCACACTTTTAAGAGATGAAAAGCTATGGACAATATACAGAAAAGAGTATGTTAAAAGCGGATATTCGTAGGGAAAAAGAAAGACAAAAGAAAGCAGGGACAATGGCGTAAGAATCACGGACAAGGTGGAAATCAGCGGAGCGAAATGTGACCTGAATCGAACTACAATGTATAACAAAATTGACAAATGAGGATCCAATATCTGCACGATGGGCAACATATTCACAACGCCAGTCAAACTGAAACAGTGGGTACTAAACGAGGATTTATTGCCAGCACTGCGAGGGAAGGGGAGTCATGTGGCATATCCTGTCATCAGATAGCGCTGACGAATAGGATCCATGGGACATATCCTGTCATCAGATAGCGCTGACGAATAGGATCCATGGGCCATATCCTGTCATCAGATAGCGCTTACGAATAGGATCCATGGGGTATGTCCTGTCATCAGATAGCACTGACGAATTGGATCCATGGGACATATCCTGTCATTAGATAGCACTGACGAATAGGATCCATGGGACATATCCTGTCACCAGATAGCACTGACGAGTAGCATACATGGGACATATCCTGTCATCAGATCGCGCTTACGAATAGGATACATGGGGTATGTCCTGTCATCAGATAGGGCTGACGAATAAGATCCATGGGACATATCCTGTCATTAGATAGCACTGACGGATAGGATCCATGGGACATATCCTGTCATCAGCTTGCGATGACGAAGGGGTGCCATGGGCCATATCCTGTCATCAGATAGCGCTGACGAATAGGATCCATGGACCATATCCTGTCATCAGATAGCGCTTACGAATAGGATCCATGGGGCATGTCCTGTCATCAGATAGCACTGCCGAATTGGATCCATGGGACATATCCTGTCATGAGATAGCACTGACGAGTAGCATCCATGGGCCATATCCTGTCATCAGATTGCGCTGACGAAGGGGTGCCATGGGACATATCCTGTCATCAGATTGCGCTTACGAATAGGATCCATGGGGTATGTCCTGTCATCAGATAGTGCTGACGAATAAGATCCATGGGACATATCCTGTCATCAGATAGCACTGACGAGTAGCATCCATGGGACATATCCTGTCATCAGATAGCGCTGACGAATTGGATCCATGTGACATATCCTGTCATCAGATAGCGCTGACGAATTGGATCCATGGGACATATCCTGTCATCAGATAGTACTGACGAGTAGCATCCATGGGACATATCCTGTCATCAGATAGTACTGACGAGTAGCATCCATGGGACATATCCTGTCATCAGATTGCGCCGACGGAGGGGCCCCCGGGAGCCATGGGACATATCCTGTCATCAGATAGCGCTGACGAATTGGATCCATGGGACATATCCTGTCATCAGATTGCGATGACGAAGGGGTGCCATGGGACATATCCTGTCATCAGATTGCGCCGACGAAGGGGCCCCCGGGAGCCATGGGACATATCCTGTCATCAGATAGCGCTGCTGAAGGGAGCCATGGGACATATCCTGTCATTAGATAGCGCAGAGGAAGGGGAACCATTGGATACATCCTCTCATCAGATAGGGCTGATGAAAGGGTGTCATGTGACATCTCCTGTCATCAGATAGCGCTTAGGAAGGGGAGTCATGTGGCATCTCCTGTCATCAGATAGCGCTTAGGAAGGACGATACCAGTGGAGGTATGGCTAGGTGCTTTGAGTAAGCGCACATCCTTCTTCATTCGATTTATGAAGGCATGGGTAAATGGCGGCAAATATGTACCAGACAACGCTAGCATTCTGAAATAGAGTGACAAAGTAGATGAGGGTAGGCCTCGCGATGAGATTGGCCTTTCCGACGTGGTGTATATAAAAGTTAGACCATGTGTGGTGAAATATAGTCTGCCGAATCCTGGAAAATCATAGTGAGTGACCTGGCAGTCTTCCAGGAGGAGAGATGCGACCAGGCCAAAGAGATGAAGAGCAACAAGTAAGCGGAATGTCTGCACGAAGAAGCGAGGATAGCGTATTTGCTATTCCTTATGTAGACTGACAAGAGTTGAAATGTTCGGAGACTGATGGACCCGGATGATGGCGTAAAATGGATTTGCAGCACTTTAAAGTCTGTATAGGTACACGTTTTTACAGTTTTGAATCACACTATTGACAATGAACTCTCTTATTCTGGAAGAAAAAACAGTTACATTTAGACAACTGACTTTTAGAATAGTATATACAGTCCAGCAAAATATATTTAACTTAAACTAATCAAAACAGCTGCTTAGGATCTATTCAAAGTTCTTTCTTATGTCATGTATCGCCCTTGTTGTACACAAGTCTTTTCTTCCCGAGATAATTTACTAGGGCGAAGCCCGAGTTAAACATGAATAGTCGAGGAGAAACAAAGTATCGTG